TCTATAGTGAGTGAAGGGCTTGGGAGGTTGGGAAGGAGTCTATAGTGAGTGAATGGCTTGGGAGGAAGGGGGGAGTCTATAGTGAGTAAAGGGCATGGGAGGTTGGGGATGAGTCTACAGTGAGTGAATGGCTTGGGAGGAAGGGGGGGGGGGTCTATAGTGAGTAAAGGGCTTGGGAGGTTGGGGATGAGTCTACAGTGAGTGAAATGGCTTGGGAGGTTGGGGATGTGTCTATAGTGAGTGAAGGGCTTGGGAGGTTGGGGAGGAGTCTATAGTGAGTAAAGGGGTTGGGAGGATGGGGGGGGGGGTCTATAGTGAGTAAAGGGCTTGGGAGGTTGGGGATGAGTCTATAGTGAGTGAAGGGCTTGGGAGGATGGGGGAAACGTTTATAGTGAGTGAAGGGCTTGGGAGGTTGAGGAGGAGTTTATAGTGAGTGAAGGGCTTGTGAGGTTGAGGAGGAGTTTATAGTGAGTGAAGGGCTTGGGAGAATGGGGGGGGGGGGTCTGTAGTAAGTAAAGGGCTTGGGAGGTGCGGGGAGACGTTTATAGTGAGTGAAGGGCTTGGGAGTTGCAGGGAGGCGTTTATAGTGAGTGAAGGGCATGGGAGGATGGGGATGTGTCTATAGTGAGTGAAATGGCTTGGGAGGTGTGGGGAGACGTTTATAGTGAGTGTAGGGCTTGGGAGGTTGGGGATGTGTCTATAGTGAGTGAAGGGCTTGGGAGTTGCGGGGAGGAGTCTATAGTGAGTAAAGGGGTTGGGAGGATGGGGGAAACGTTTATAGTAAGTGAAGGGCTTGGGAGGTTGAGGAGGAGTTTATAGTGAGTGAAGGGCTTGTGAGGTTGAGGAGGAGTTTATAGTGAGTGAAGGGCTTGGGAGAATGGGGGGGGGATCTATAGTAAGTAAAGGGCTTGGGAGGTGTGGGGAGACGTTTATAGTGAGTGAAGGGCTTGGGAGGATGGGGAGGTGTCTATAGTGAGTGAAGGGCTTGGGAGGTTGGGGAGGAGTCTATAGTGAGTGAAGGGGTTGGGAGGATGGGGGGGAGGGGGGTCTATAGTGAGTAAAGGGCTTGGGAGGTTGGGGATGAGTCTATAGTGAGTGAAGGGCTTGGGAGGATGGGGGAAACGTTTATAGTGAGTGAAGGGCTTGGGAGGTTGAGGAGGAGTTTATAGTGAGTGAAGGGCTTGTGAGGTTGAGGAGGAGTTTATAGTGAGTGAAGGGCTTTTATAGTGGGAGAATGAGACGTTTATAGTGAGTGAAGGGCTTGGGAGAATGGGGGGGGGGGGGTCTGTAGTAAGTAAAGGGCTTGGGAGGTGCGGGGAGACGTTTATAGTGAGTGAAGGGCTTGGGAGTTGCGGGGAGGCGTTTATAGTGAGTGAAGGGCATGGGAGGATGGGGATGTGTCTATAGTGAGTGAAATGGCTTGGGAGGTGTGAATGTTAGGATAGTGAGTGTAGGGCTTGGGAGGTTGGGGATGTGTCTATAGTGAGTGAAGGGCTTGGGAGGGGTGCGGGGAGACGTTTATAGTGAGTGAAGGGCTTGGGAGGTTGAGGAGGAGTTTATAGTGAGTGAAGGGCTTGTGATAGTGAGTGAAGGGCTTGGGAGGATGGGGAGGAGGGCTTGGGAGGTGTGTGTTTATAGTGAGTGAAGGGCTTGGGAGGATGGGGAGGTGTCTATAGAGGGTTGGGAGGTTGTCTATAGTGAGTGAAGGGGTTGGGAGGGCTTAGTGAGAGGGCTTGGGAGGTTGGGGATGAGTCTATAGTGAGTGAAGGGCTTGGGAGGATTTTATAGTGAGTGAAGGGCTTGGGAGGTTGAGGAGGAGTTTATAGTGAGTGAAGGGCTTGTGAGGTTGAGGAGGAGTTTATAGTGAGTGAAGGGCTTGGGAGAATGGGGGGGGGGGGGGGGGGGTCTGTAGTAAGTAAAGGGCTTGGGAGGTGCGGGGAGACGTTTATAGTGAGTGAAGGGCTTGGGAGTTGCGGGGAGGCGTTTATAGTGAGTGAAGGGCATGGGAGGATGGGGAGGTGTCTATAGTGATTGAATGGCTTGGGAGGAAAGGGGGGGGTCTATAGTGAGAAGGGCTTGGGAGGTGCGGGGAGTCGTTTATAGTGAGTGAAGGGCTTGGGAGGTTGGGGATGATTCTATAGTGAGTGAAGGGCATGGGAGGATGGGGAGGTGTCTATAGTGAGTGAATGGCTTGGGAGGAAAGGGGGGGGGTCTATAGTGAGTGAAGGGCTTGGGAGGTGCGGGGAGACGTTTATAGTGAGTGAAGGGCTTGGGAGGTTGGGGATGATTCTATAGTGAGTGAAGGGCTTGGGAGGATGGGGAGGAGAGTATAGTGAGTGAAGGGCTTGGGGGGATGGAGGGTTGGTGTATAGTGAGTAAAGGGCTTGGGAGGTTGGGAAGGAGTCTATTGTGAGTGAAGGGCTTGGGAGGTGCGGGGAGACGTTTATAGTGAGTGAAGGGCTTGGGAGGTGCGGGGAGGTGTCTATAGTGAGTGAAGTGCTTGGGAGGATAGGGAGGTGTCTATAGTGAATGAAGGGCATGGGAGGATGGTGGTCTATAGTGAGTGAAGGGCTTGGGAGGATGGGGAGGTGTCTATAGTGAGTGAATGGCTTGGGAGGATGGGGGGTCTATAGTAAGTAAAGGGCTTGGGAGGTTGGGGGGTCTATAGTGAGTGAAGGGGTTGGGAGGATGGGGAGGTGTCTTCAGTGAGTGAATGGCTTGGGAGGATGGGAGTCTATAGTGAGTAAAGGGCTTGGGAGGATGGAGGGGGGGGGGGGGTAGGTCTATAGCAAGGAAAGGGCTTGGGAGGTTGGGGGGTCTATAGTGAGTGAAGGGGTTGGGAGGATTGGGAGGTGTCTATAGTGAGTGAAGGGCTTGGGAGGTTGGGGAGAATTCTATAGTGAATGAAATTCTTGGGAGAATTGGGGAGGGGGGGGGGGGCGCAGTTATATTGTAAGTGAAAGGTTTTGAGGGGGGAGATGTCTAAACTGAGTGAAGGGCTTTGGAGAGTGGGGGGAGTCAAAAGTGAGTGGAGAGCTTGGGAAGAGCCAGGATAGATTCCAGTTGTGAAAGTTTCCATATGATTAGGAGTGTAAAGTTTCATGTCAGACCAAAGGGATACAGACTGATCTTCTGTGAGATCCTAGGTAAGGGAAGAATTACAACATCGTTTGGACTAGAATAACAAATAAAGTTTCCAAAAAAGGAGAAAAAAAGAATGATGAAGTAAAAGTGTCGGGTACTGCTAGTTTAAGAGGATTTATTTTCAAAAAAAAAAAAAAAAAAACACAAATTATCTTCTTAATGAACAAGAGCTCTGCAGTGATGATATCTATTCAGTAACAAACCATGTGAAAATTACTGTCAGTAAAAAGTTATAATGAGATAATATTTAGAAGTTTGTGTATTGGCTGGGAACGTTTTCAGCATAAAAATGTCTTCACACCCATGTAGCAGTGTATGAATGGTAGTCGCTATACAGTCACACACCACACACCATGTTTAGTGAAATCTCTGACAAAACTGACATATCACAGCCTTAATCTTGTCTAGTGTCTGTCCATTTCTGAATATCACCACAAAAATATGAAATCACTAGGATTTCAACTCTATAGAAATCTGACTGTCAGTTTTTACATACCATGACAAGGTTCAATTCTGATACCCTTCCAAAATGTATTCAATTACCCATAAAAGTAGCTCATGAATATTCAAATGCTGGGACACTTTGTATAAATATCCATAAATTTCACTTTAGCCTGAAAGCAGTGAATATATATAATTACTGTATCATTTATAGGATAAAATCTTCAGGATCTCTAACTAATGAGGTGCTCTTATCTACGGTTGACAAATCCATCATTACTTGTGCCTTACTCAAACAGGTAATTCCTCAATTCTGTTCTGACATTTAGCCTGATTTAAATCCATTATTTTTTTGCCTGTGTGGTCGACTTGCGTCTTATATCCTGAATATTTCGACAGACTTTCTGTCCCTATAACGTATAGTGTAATTACACGTACCTACACGATAATTCATCATAGTCTGACCGAAAATATAATTACATATCTGTTGGTTTATTGTTCTGGAGATCGTCCCATAGAAATGATGACCACCTTTCTTACATATTTATGTATGTTATGACATGAAAATTCATAAGAACCTAAACTGTAGAACTTTGTCGCCTAAAGTCGAGTATTCTCCAGCATGTATGATGTAACACTTTGGTCCATCCATCGTTTGTCCTCATAACAAATTTGTAATTCTATTTATATGACATGAATATTCATATGGAGGTATATTGCTTAAAGAACAAATTTAAGATGGGGTGTTGCTCATGTGAAACATGTATCAAGGACAATCGTACTGATCAACACAATTTGAATTTTTTCAATCTCAACATACAGTAATTTAAGATTTAAATGTATTTTTCCTTTTTAAAATCTTTTTGATCTAGATATGGTGCCTTTTTACAATAGTTCTGAAATTTTCAAAATATCCATTTAAAATGCACTTTCAATATCCATTTTACTGACTTGAAGTGCAATATGATAATACAGAATGTGTTTGTATGTACCAGAAACTAAAAATTTTAATTTCGAGTACCATTTTATATGAACACTGTAACAGCTGGGTAATTCAGCAATACGTCAGCTTTACTTACATTAATCAACATCTATGTAGGTAAAGAAATTGTTTGAAATTGAAAAAAATGAACGCACATAATTGTGTGTCCTCTTATAGCTATGCAGGTTAAACTCATTCGAGTTTTCTTCCATGTCATGTATTAGAGTGCAATCACTGTACAATCTATTTCATGACAGAGAGGTTAATCTTTGGTGTTGACACTCAAAAGTCTTCTTCCAAACGATGAGATTTTGTGTACAATTTATGAGCTGAGTTAAGAATGTCCACCTCAATCATAATGACCCACACTACTATTTTATAATCCAGTTTGACTTTTTAATGTTCAATAACATATCTAGCCTAAATCACTTACCTGAACCACTGGCCATCTCCAGCATATCTCGGGCAGTGTTAGTAGCATTGAGCTCTGAGGCATCATCAGTACGGTCACGCCTATGCTGAAGTGCATATGCCTTGGCAGGTGACATGGACCAAGTATTGATGGGGTCGTAGAGCAACACCTCCAAAATTGTCAGCAGCGCCTCCTGGTGGTCATGCATCACTTCCATTGTCTTTTCACAACACCTGTGCATTTTACATTTTAACATATAAAATACCGGTACAAAAAAGTTTTGTCCTTTCCTCGTTCCTTTAACAGCTATTTACGGAAAAGAAGTATATCATTAAACACCATGAAAACCCTTACCTACGAAACACACCCTCGACTCCTGATACACCCATACCGTCCACAATATCTCGTGTCAGCCGAAATGGTACAGTTTCTGGAGTTGGCAAGATTCTGCCTTGTTCAAACGCAACACCTACAGCAAAGAAATAAAAAAAGTCAACAGAGGCACTGTTTCTATAGGGATGGAAATATCCGTACAATTATATATAGGATGAATATGAAATCAGAACTGCAAAGAAGTATGGTGTGTCAAACATATTCTAATTTAAATATTAATGCTAAATTATATATTAATATTCTAATCTTCATCATTTTAAAAGGTATCTAGTTGTATTTAGGTTTTTATCTAATTTACTTAATTTAAAAGGGGCTTCCATACCACTAGGCATTGTTTTCAAAACTAGCAGATGAAGCACAATATACATGAACCAAATGGGACCTTATTACTCGAAACAATTTTCCAACTGGAAACCTTTTTCTCTGGAATTGAAGATAAAATATGATTGACTAAGATACAATAAGAATATGAAAAAAAGATATAACATACAAGATACAATAACAGTGTCACAAACAAAGAATATGAATAATAAGTTATATCAATTAAAACTGATTCAACAAAAATGGCATCACTTTGATATGTAGCAGTGTTTGACACATCAATAGGAAGACCATCATAACCTTAAAAGGAGTAGTAGATATCTAAGAAACATTTTTGCCTTTTTTGGTTTTCTGGTAAATTTTTTCATTTTTTCACAGAAAATTCTAATGGTGCTGGTTTTTTTTATATAGCCAGACAGAGCACACTGGAAATGCAAATCTTACATGGTGAACTCATCATTACAAATGCACTCCCTAGTCATGTCAATAGTCAATTAAATTATCTTGTCAAGCTTGACTGTAATTATTTTAAAGTTTTTGGACAAAATTTAAACTTCTTAGTTGGAAATCTGCAATGGTCAGCTCTGTGTGTTCATGTGTGTTAATACTCACTTATGTCTATGTGAATTCCGAGCTGAGAGTGTAAAGGTCACCAGTACTTACCTATTTATGCTTATTTAACTCATTGTGCACTTTAAGCTCTTCTGGTTCAGAGTATGAACACTAAATACCTGTGAATGAGTAATGTTAATGCTTACCTAGGTCAATATGGACGAGTTCAGCAGTTTTACAATCCACAAGAATGTTCTGTACATGTCGGTCTCCGAGACCCAGTATATAGCCCACTAAAACAACCAATCACAATGAATCAGGACAAGAATGGCGTCCATACATATGTAACGGATGCTAAAAGTATGACAAAATTCCTTTAACAAATATGATAATATATTAATATTAATATGAAACATTTCCAGATTTTTTTCTGAACACAGTTGAACCCAGGTTGTCTCCCCTCCCTGGTTTCTACATATCACTATGTTTTCTAAAAGCCACAGTGAACATCAAAGCTATACTTATTACCACTTCCTTGAAGAAAATGCATCAAAGGAAAAATGAATGGTTTCTGAACACATTTGAACCCAGGTTGTCTCCCCTTCCTGGTTTCTACATATCACTATGTTTTCTGAAAGCCACAGTGAACATTAAAGCTATACTTATTACCACTTCCTTGAAGAAAATGCATCAAAGGAAAAATGAATGGTGATCAGTTATTGTACTACTAGGTGGGATTACCTATAGAGTTGGTGGCCACACTCTTGGTGTAGGCGAGCCGGCGTTCATACCAGTGAGCAGGCTCTGGAAATTTTTCCATGAAAAAGTGACGGAACACAGGTCGGAATTTACTACACACTCCTAGGAATGTTTTGTATTTTACCTCTGCTGGCTGGGTATGTACTCCCTACAATATAGAAAATGTAAAATTTAAAGTGGACACATGTTCTGTAAATTTAAATATTTGAAGACTTTTATCTTCGTAGATGCCTTTGTACATGCTTCAGATTAATTCCCAATGATAATTACAGGATTAAGATTAGTTTCTGACTTACAGCAAGTTGTCGTCGACTGTCCATGGCCAGAGCATCCTGAGGGCGATAACGCCTGTGGGCACCCTCTGCCTCACTCTTGCCTCCGATCAGGTATGTTCCGATGGGAAGGGTGCCCTCGCACCACTCAAGCAGGCCACTTCGCTGTGACAGTGGGATGACCTTGTATTGGCGAATCTGAAGGCCACGCTTCCTTGTTTCTGATTTCTTCTTGAGAAGGTTGTTGACCATGTTAAATACCTGTTGCATCACAGCATCCTGACGAAGGTCATCACGACCCTAGAATCATCACAAAATGAGATCTTCATACATGACTGCTAACAGGTCCGTATTTATATCAATGCATTTGCTGACTTCTGGCTCAACAGCCAAATGATTGACTTCAGAAGAAGTTCTCATAGGATAGCAGTAATTGTGGCTAAGCTTTTCAAGGGTGGCATGTACATGTATATTGTCAGTCTCATAAAATAAATTTAGAAAAACAATCTAATCAATCTCAAATCCATGTCCAATAAAAAAAACATAACTTTTTGAAAATAGTTCTTCTTCTTAAATATATTAAAATATTGCAAAAATTTAAGACTGAACAGATGACAAATATATTAAAATATTGCAAAAGTTTCAGACTGAACAGATGACAAATATATTAAAATATTGCAAAAGTTTCAGACTGAACAAATGACACATTAACATTCGAGATGGCAAATTTAGAATCATCTCCCCCTTACCTTCACAAGCTGACAGTAACTTCTACCATTTGATCCCATACATGATATGATTTTTGGCAAGTTGATGCCGCCTGCCAACTTAAATGTCGGTTGAAAATTGTGTATATAGGTAATGTTTGTGTATCTTCCACTGCGGTCCACCTGAAATTTGTCAATGAAGCTTCAGCATATCTTAAAGGTCAAAGTTCATTGTAGTGACAGTGTAATTGAAAATAAGTTTAATACTAATAGTGATTATAAAAGACTCTGTGATGCTTTATGACACATGTACATCTTTTCCAAATTCCAATGCCAGTTTGTGATTCAAATTATATTCTAGTTCTAAATGAAATATCAACTTCCTTATAATGTGAGTGAATTGCAACATTTATAATGATAGTGCAGTCTTAAAGGTAAAATTTAAATTCTGCATTTTTTTTTTTTTTTTTTGCTATACTCTAGTTTTAAACTGAGGAAACATAACATTCTGAGCTAACAACTTATCTGTAAGGTTTCATCAGACTTAATCATATACATACTGGTCGTGCGAAAGAAAAACTTCAAAACATATAGAAAATACCAAAACACACAGTAGACAGTTTACTGCATGTAATATGTTTAACTTACAGGAATTTCAACGGTAGGTACAGCAATATTACGCAAGTCTTTCACAGCAGGCAGCTTCAGCAAGCTAGGAAAGGGGATTGGCTCTGTAACAGTAAAAGAAATTCAGGATAAAATTGACCAAGTCACTTCCTAGATTTAATTATTAGCTGAATTAACCATAGCTATTGTAAGAGTATTTCTTCAGGCATTATCCATGGAAGCAGAATTCCTGTTGCTTTCATAAAACACATTTTCAATGCTCTAATCATAATCTAGAAACCAGATCATAATACTCTGCTTACACTTTTAAACAAAGGTTTAGAGGAGCTTTTAATGGTCCACATTGTGTCAAATCTTAATTTTAAGAAAGATGTATAGGCTAATCAATACCAGCACCTTTTCGAATACTTAATAGTTTTATAAATCAGAGTGTTTTTAAAGACATTATAAAAGTGATGCATCAGTACTTGTCTCTGCCTTGTACTTTGTGACCGGGTAGTTAGCCAGTTCTATGTAAGCCAGACAGAGCTTCTCCATGTCTTTAACAATATGCGCGACAGAGTTATGCCCCTTGTCAGCCTTTAACCTCTCCACCAAGTTCTTGGCTGCTTCAATTCTCCCCTGTGCCAATAATAATATCAATAATCAATTCCTTTCAATTAAGTTCCCTTCATGTAAAAAGGGCAAATACACAGTTCTGTTGTTTCAATCAATAGTTGAATAATGACTATCTGAAATTGTAGTCCTCTATGAAAGAAGTCAATATCAGTGTATGTATTATTGTTGCACATACAATATTTATATGATTTTTCCATCAATCATCAAGACTCCCCTGTAACTTACCTCCTCCTCTCTGGCCATGTCAGACAATGTCCTTGTCAACTTGCTCTTTCTGTTAGGGTCTTTGAAGATGTCAGCATCCATCTTGGCATGGGCTAAAGCAAGTATACAGAAGAGTGTGTGATGAGGGTGGTCTACTGCTGTCCTCTCAATTACCTGTACAGAATATAAGTGAAGTATAGTAATTAGTTACAGCATTGTCCTGAACTCATCTATAATGTCTTCAACCATTTCGTCAAAAGGAATGTACATGTGCAGAAAAAGTAATGAATCAAGGCAGTTGGTCCGAGTATAATCAAATACGCAGCAATGACATAATTTCTTAAAGCTTTGCCCTTCAATAAAACCTACACCTATGTACTACAAATGCACTAGTTGTACAGTAAAGATGTCACACACCATTGGCTTAAAGAAAATATGTCAAATTTCTAGTCTGAACTGCTTTCCTGAGGTTCTTTCTTAACTTCTACTCCTATCTGTAACCGTTCCTTAATCTTTATTAATCTTAATTCTTCACATTTGGCTTTCGGTATGATCTGCTTCTCTGGGTTCTTTCTTAAATTCTACTCCTATCTGTAACCGTTCCTTATTCTTTATTAATCTTAACTGTTAACACTTGGCTTTCGGTATGTTGGACACGGAAATGGAAAATCATAACATGATATGTTCTACTTCGCATGAAAACCATACAAAAACTTTCAAATTTCTGAGTGTTAAAAAAAAAAACAAAAAAAGATGTCGCACACCATATCACAGTGATATTATGTAAATCCTTTCATTCTCATAAACTTAAAGCTACATTTCATTGGCTATTGTCCTCTTACCTTATTGAGTGTATTTTGAAATAGTGGACACTGGTCCTTGTGGGGCCGAGTGTCCATCCTAGTGGCCAGCTGGTACATCAGGGGCAGTAACTTGTATGTACTAAGGTTCTCTATACTGTCCTACAATAAATATCATGATTATTACACAAAACGTACAACAGCTGGACAGTAGCACAATAAATGAAACTCACGTAAAACAAAATGTTACTGCTATACAATTACAAACGATGATAAATTTTTTTTTTTTTGTCACTTTGATCTTTCAATTTGGCTATGTGAGAAACTAAAAAACAGGAGAACCATTACTCTAGATAACCTAGCTGTCATCCAGATGTGGTTGACATGTTTTGACAACATCTAGATCACAATAAAATTGATAAGTTTCTCGAATGTTGAGGAGCCTTTATTTCCACATTCCAACTTGACTTGCATATATAGAAGCAATAACTTATATAGGAATGCAGTTTGTTGAAATATGTACCAGAGCAGTGACACAGACAAGTTAATGTTTACGCACAAATAGATAAAAATAACATCTACCTGTATGATTTCATTGACTTCCTGGTCATTATTGTTACTGAACCAGAGTGAGGTCAGTCTGAAAACACGAAGGTCATGTCGATCTCCTGCCTTGAGACAGCGCATATAGTTCTCCACAGCTGTCACCAGAAAGCGGCCTTTGTCGTCCTCCAGGGCTGTAATCTCCTGTCTGTCAATCTGACTCTGTTTATTTAGAATGATGAAGTACTTCCTACAAAACCAGGACATTTCAATAACCAGATTATCTTTTAGTTAGTAATGTATCATATAAGATGCTCAGTTTCTAAGACGTGGCCAGCCAAATGGTCCTGGAAGACTGCAACAGTTCTGCCTCCATGACTGCTTCAAATCCCCAGATAACCAACCAAGAAACTTGTTAGATTTCATGACCATCGAAGAGAATACCTAAATGTACCACAAACAATGTCAGAAACTGATGTGATGACGGTAGGGTATGCTTTCTTTAGAACTCACCTTGGAAAGATTTCTAATATTTTATTTCGATCTCCTTCAGTAAATCTTGTCCATCGTGATTGATTGAAGGATGAAGTGAAATGTAACTGTTACCCCTCTCACTAGAAACTTACTCTTTTGTATTGTCTCCAACTTGTTTCAGGGACTCAATTTCCTTCTGAGCTTTCTTGAACAGGTTCTGTTTGGCCTCAAAAGTGCTAGACTTCATGTAATTGACGATGTGTTGATACTGGCTGTCAGCGTAGCGGGCGAGTGCTAGGTACGAGTCCAATGCTGCGTCGTCCTCGATTCCAGCCTGGTCCAAGATTGAAACTGCCTGTGAGGTTATACAAAGGTCAAATGGCCAAATAAAGGTTATGTAATTAGAATACAAGGTAAAACAAATGACGTTTGATCAGGATACATTTATTTCAACTTCATATAAACAAATCATCAGAAATATGTAAAGGTATTACATGTAGTCATCTACCAGGTGTTCATATAATATCTAGTGTCGAAGGTCATAATTACAAGTATCATAAATTCATTTCATACAATTTAACACTGCAGTGGTCTCTCATTTAAGTTCTAAATACCGTATTTATCCTAATAAATGCCCCGGGGGCGTTGCAGACCCCAGGGGGGTGGGGTGCGCGTTTATTAGAGAGGGGGCATTAATTAGGATAAATACGGTATTAAATATCTCTTTAAAATTATATTTGAATGTAATGATATAAGGTTATACTTTTTCAAGGTAATCTTCCATGATGATGTTTGGGTTCTCCGATCTAGTTTCCGCCAGCCAGTTCCCATTTATACACAGTACTTTAGCATAGTATGTGGTAGCATCCTTATTCTTCCTGTGAACCTGTGGTATACAGATAATAAAAACTTAATATCCTCATCAGGTGATGGTATCCACCATCATATAATCTTCAGAAGTTCAGTGGTGACATTTATTTTTTCAAAAGTTGAAACAGCATGGATATCTAAAGAATGGCTTGACCAGACATGGTACAAAGAGCAGGGTTATTGGAAAAGTCCACAATCTTGCAATATAACTGAAAGATAGAGCAAGTATGTACTTTGATCCAAAAAACTGATTTACCTACCATCATACTATCCACAAAACTGATTTACCTACCATCATACTATCCAAAAAACTGATTTACCTACCATCATACTATCTACAAAACTGATTTACCTACCATCATACTATCCACAAAACTGATTTACCTACCACCATACTATCCACAAAACTGATTTACCTACCATCATACTATCCACATAACTGATTTACCTACCATCATACTATCCACAAAACTGATTTACCTACCATCATACTATCCACAAAACTGATTTACCTACCATCATACTATCCACATAACTGATTTACCTACCATCATACTATCCACAAAACTGATTTACCTACCATCATACTATCCACCAAACTGATTTACCTACCACCATACTATCTACAAAACTGATTTACCTACCATCATACTATCCACATAACTGATTTACCTACCATCATACTATCCACATAACTGATTTACCTACCATCATACTATCCACAAAACTGATTTACCTACCATCATACTATCCACAAAACTGATTTACCTACCATCATACTATCCACAAAACTGATTTACCTACCACCATACTATCCAAGTTCAGTGCTGTTCGTACCTTTTTAAGTTGTAAGATAATGTCTTTCATGAGATGTTTGGCTGTGTTCTGCTCCCTGCGGGCCCAAAACATGTTGGCTTCTTCCACCATCTTGTTGATGTGAAGGTCAAGGACTGATGTTTCAAGGGACTTCAGTCGACCAATGGCTCTCTCTGCTACCTGTAACAGGGGACAACGTCTAATCTGGTAAATCTACACACCTGTATTGACTCACCTTGTTGGTAGAATTATAATACTGAGAATGACACATCAAACAGTGAAATTGTGCATATCCTGAATAAGGTTATACAATATATTTCTGTTGCTGGCCTGAAAGAGCTGAAATTTGCCTAAATTATCTGCATTCAAAATTGACTAATTTCTGCTTGCCAAGACTGGAAAATCTTTGAAAGAAATCAATCTTTATGTTGATTAATTTACAAAGTGAAACTGTCAAATATTACATTTAACTGTTTATCTTTGATCAATGACCACAATAAAAGGACTACATATAGAACATGATGTTATGATGCTATGGTGTAAATATAAACCAAAACTATTGAGAGATATGACACTGATAAGGAACAGGACAAGATTGAATGTGACAGAATGTGACAATGGACGAATACAGGTAACATCATATGTCCTTCCACCAATAAAATGGAGGGGGACATAAAACAGCTAATATAAGAAGGTTATACTGTACCTGATGCCTGCCTGCCCCACTGCTGAGTCTAGCCAATTGTAACAACTGTCTCTGTAGACAGTCAGACACAGCAGAGTTATCCCCCTTGTTTAGGAACAGTTGTAACAGTGTGATACGAATGTTATAGATTGGTTCTAGGAACTCAAAGTCATTGCTGGTTAGGTAGGTTTCATCCTCGCCTGACCAACGTTCCAGTAGACTTGACAACTCAGCATCATTCCTTAGAACAGAAATTTGTTTACAGTAAAAAAAAAAAATTTTTCCTAATAAGTTCATGATTTATGAAATGGGCATGCACTGCAGTAATATTTCTGTCAAAAACTTTTTACCTTCAAAGAGTAGTGAAAAAAAAATGAGAAATCTTCCAATCAAGTTTTCAAGAATGAGATCAAAGAAATGCTTTAATGTTGAGTTTTATTTCTTGACAGACATCTATAATCATTTCTGAATTTATTCCAATTAGTAATTATTCACACCAATATTACTTATGAAAGACTGTTTCATCACATTAATGCTTACAGTACTCCGTTTTGATACAGTACATAGTATTTCTATGATATAGAAACAACAATCAGTGATTTATCATCACTTAATTCAGCCAAAAATCTTGACAGTGTTTAACATTACAGTATATTCATGTTCTGTTATATTCTTACCTGAGATTACAGCTGATGGCGGTCTCTATCTGTGAGACACAGTTGAGGTCAGTCAACATGGGGTATAGACAGCGGGCACTCTCCATACTTCCCTCCCTCAGTCTCTCCATCACACACAACCTGTCACAGCAATCAATCAGAGTAAAATTTGTATCAAAAACAAAAAACTATTCTTTATCTGTCATCTTAACATACTGTAGAAACATTAAACAATGGAAAACCATTTATATTATCAAATATTTACATTTGCCAATTTGACTTCAAGATTTGATGATCAATAATTTGTACATTATAGTAGTTTAGACATTAGCATCTGTCAAAAACTTGACATTTCATGTATCACTACATGTATATTTTTATTGATAAAGTAAACATGTTGTTACTTTTATCCAAAATTGTAAATAGTTATCAGTTTATCAAGTGTTTTTGTATAAATATACCTGGCTGTTTGGATTGCAGTGGAAGCCATAGAGAGGTGATCGTCTCTAACTGCGTTCAGGGCAGCATAAACAGCCTGCTGGTATCCTGTCTGGTTACATCTACAGAATAATATGCATGATATATTAGATTCCAGCTATAATTACGAACAGAGCTCAATAGATCCTCCTACTTCCACTTTATTTTGTTATTATAGTATCTTTGCTCCAATCAGCTGTTTTCTTTTCTCTTCTTCAAAATTACATTCTATCATACCATAATTTCTGTACTTGAAAGGCAACACAAACACATTATTGGGGGGTTGGTGTCCAATGACCTACAATCCAAACCCCTAGCACCTAAATATGGGGTCTGGCATACACTAACCTCTATATCTTGAACACTTAATATCTAAGTGGGAATTTGGGTCTGGGTTGGTGTCCACTGACATGAAACACTAACATTTAGTACCTGGGTGTGTGGTCTGGCATACACGGGCCAACATCCCGAATGATTTAGGGGTCAGTTTCTCTAAACTTCTTTTAGCTGAGAGTAGTGTCCAGCATCAACTGGACACCTAACCCCTATTACCTGAGTGTGGGATCCAGTGTCCACTGACCAGCCTTCCAGGCTGCCTGATACTGTAGCTCCTGTACATTAGGGGCAACATCTGTTCCTGTTGATATCCCATGGAAGTAGTTATTTAACACTTCAAGGGCACCAAAATTTTGCAAAGCCTACAAAACATGATAAAGAACAAGGTGAGGTGTCATGTCTGATTATCAAATATGTCACAAAACAAAGGATGAAAAAGTGAGGCTAGATAACAACTTAAAACACAATAAACAAAATATAAACAAAGTGAGCTGGAGTTTACAAACAACATTACGCAAATACCAACATGGCAACATACTCATAACTCATGACAGTGAGCTGGAGGTTACATAATTATACCTCTATTCTTTTATCAAACACCATATTAAAAAATATCTTATACAATTGCATAAATGGGAAGCATTCTGACCTGCAGTAATCCCAGATTTGAACCAGCTGTGGAACTGGCCTTGTCAATGTCATATGTAACTAAAGCTTTGTCCCACAGATTCTCATGCTCGTACGTCTTAACTCTAAAAAATGAAAACGTAATATTAGAACTTGTTCATTCTATATGGAGATTTTTTTCCCAGTATTCTTCTCTATGGTACTGGTTTTACCTTATACATGTAATGTACATTACTCTTTCACACATCTCCATGTGCTCAAATGTTATAAAATATATTGGAATGTCATCCTAGGTAATTTTGGTGTCATAATGGATTAAAACTTACCATATTTTCTGGGCGGGTTATAAGCCACAGGGCCAGTTTGTAGTGATTTTTTTCCTGTTTGATCCACATATAAGCCGCACCACAATATAAGCTGCGCCCTTTCTCATGAAATGGTAACAGTTATGTTGACCAAAGTTTGTTGATATAACAGACAATTTATCAAGATCATCAGTGAAACATTTGATAAAGTTTACAAATGAATTACCAGTATAAACATTATTTTATTGATGCATTTAAAAAAAAACCCCGTAAAATAGCAAATAATGAACTCGTTTGGCTTGGGTGCCTTCGACGATTGTCTATGCACAGATATAGGGCCTGTCGTTACGTACAGCTTACTTAACAATATCTCCATTGGTGTCTGTAATGTTAAATACTAACAAAGGCCCTTGCATGCTGACAAAATTCTTATAGTCCCATATTATTTCTTCTTGTAAGTTACACGAAACCATTAATATTGTTAACAAGCATGGTGGTCATTCTAGAATTTGACCTATAACCTGATGACCTATCGATCCCAGGATGAAAAAGGCTATTGTAAACTTCCACAATGGCATCAAAGTAAACACAAAAGTCCAGAAGATATTACTGAGATTATGATAAATTAAATCCAAAAGAATGTTCTTTTTATTTCAATCTTCAAATCATCCTGTATATGATTGCAAATCTAGACGATCTGTTTCAGTCACAAACAGGTGACGGACAGGTACCCATTAAAATGTTCAGTACTGTTTCGTACTGGTGTACTGGTACACTTTCTGTTTGTTTTTGTTTTTCATCATCCTGCTGATTTTTTTCGTCCACATACAAGCCGCATCGGTATATATGCTGCAAGCCCGACTCACGAGGAAAAAAGGTGCGGCTGATATTCTAATCCAGTAAATATTGGAAATAATGTTTTTTCAGAGAAATTGTTTTCAAATTTCAATGTGATCTGCTAGATGGACAGAGACATATATAACTCAGAGATAAGAAACTTCTAGTGCTTACCATTGGTCGCACATGACCGGATGTCTAATAATAACTTATCTTACAACAATGAATACACCCTTCACTTCAAGACTTCTAAGACAGAACTACGAAGTATAGTATATATGCAATGTATCTTAGGAAGTAAATGTTTATTGTAGTATTTAATGTTTAGTCTGCAATGCCTTCGTGACATTAACGAGATATGATTCATCATTTGTACGGATTAATTTTCTAAAAATACATAAACTTTCTACATGTCCAATGTCTTTTTTTAAATATTGTCAGCATACCTATTATTTATTTGATTTGAATTTGGTTTTCATATATTACACATGAAACTCATCTTTCATTACTTATGTCAGTATTTATACAACAAATTTGTATTTAACATGGTGGCTGTCAACTTGTGCCACAGATCTAGGCTTTGGATTTATACAAGTTCTGTGTTTTGTTCGTGATTTCAATTAAGATGACTTTGATAGTAAGATACATGTTGACGCTAAAGTTTGATAACCAAGCTGTGAAATGGTGGTAATTTCACATCAAAGTTTTCTTACATGGCTGCTTGCAGTGTGTACATGATCATTGTCCTTCTCGGCTTTAGGATGATATAAGCTCTTTCTGTAGCTTGTTGATGGTATAAAAATGATTTTCAGGTTTTAATATCTTATTAATCACTCACCTCGAATTTCATTATTGCTGTGATAAGTATCTGATAAGATTAAGTCCTTAAAGCTACGAAAGGGTCAGTACTTTTTATCATCTCTACATGCCACCTCCTCTCAGGCTCTATACATTTCTTTCATGACGAAAATACAGCCATGTGGGATCTTATGAGAATGCTGTAGTTGCCAATCTCTGTTTTAATATATACCACGGTATATAGATGCTACGATTTTCAGATATGGAAATGATTTAAGGACCCAGAAAGTATGTACCTTGATGAGGTGTCTGCCAGTCTCCCTGCTCCACATCCATAAAGGCCATCGGGGTCACCAATTTGCTGAAAGGCCTCCATCAGCAGGTCCTGTACATTGATGCCGACCTCTGTTGATGCACAGCTAACCGAGTCTATCCGTGTGTCCTGCGTGAAGTCCTGAGAGAGACTAAGACTGCCTGAAGAATTACGACTATCTTCCTCCTGTTGTCTGTTAGGGAAAAACATTCAATAGTAATACCTCAAATTTACAGTGCCTCTCAATGTTTGTATGATTTTAATGGTATTTCAAACTTAGGTACAACATGCCAGTATTTATCTGTGAGGATCACAACAGATCTCAGAGTACAGCTCTGTAGTACTTACCTGTGTACATCACACCAGATCTCAGAGTACAGCACTGTAGTACTTACCTGTGTACATCACACCAGATCTCAGAGTACAGCACTGTTGTGAAGTGGGCTGAGCAGTAGAGAGCTGCCTTAGCAACATGCAGGTAGTTCAAATCCAGCCAGAAATTATTATCCCAAGCTGTCATCTGTCTTCTCCTGGGTAAACAAAAAACAGTTCATAGTATATACAGTAAACAATCCATGTGGCATTTTTTTAAACAGAATTCTAAGTATTACTGTCTTTAACAGACTATGTTTAGTGGTAATAGGACTCAACCCTTATTTTACAGTCTCCAGAATATTTGTTCCTTTTTCCTCTATTTATTATAAATTCTAGATGTCTTTTATTACTTTAGCAAATTTTTCTCCTTTACATGAACCTTTAAGTGTCAAGAAGACTCTTCCCTCCTTTGGTCTCTTGTTGCCTGACATACCACTCTTTGGTCCTCTGTTACTGCCAGGCTTACTAAATATTTCTCCTAGGGCCGCTCTTGCTCCAACACTTACATCTCCTTAGGCTTCTCTTAACTTACCCCCTCCTTGGACCTCTCTTGTGACTTAACCTACCCCTCCTTGGACCTCTCTTGTGGCATAACCTATCCCTCCTTGGCCCTCTCTTTCGGCTTAACTTACCCCCTCCTTGGACCTCTCTTGTGACTTTACTTACCCCTCTTTGGACCTCTCTTGTGGCTTAACCTACCCCTCCTTGGCACTCTCTTGTGGCTTAACCAACCCCTCCTTGGACCTCTCTTGTGACTTAACTTACCCCTCCTTGGACCTCTCTTGTGACTTAACTTACCCCTCCTTGGACCTCTCTTGTGACTTAACCTACCCCTCCTTGAACCTCTCTTGTGAACACTTACTCTCTTGTGGCTTAACCTACCCCTCCTTGGACCTCTCTTGTGGTTTAACCTATCCCTCCTTGGCCCTCTCTTGTGGCTTAACCTACCCCTCCTTGGCACTCTCTTGTGACATAACTTACCCCTCCTTGGCCCTCTGTTGTGACTTAACTTACCCCTCCTTGGCCCTCTGTTGTGGCTTAACCTACCCCTCCTTGGACCTCTCTTGTGACTTAACCTATCCCTCCTTGGACCTCTCTTGTGACTTAACTTACCCCTCCTTGGACCTCTCTTGTGACTTAACTTACCCCTCCTTGGGTCTCTCTTGTGATTTAACTTACCCCTCCTTGGACCTCTCTTGTGACTTAACTTACCCCTCCTTGGGTCTTTCTTGCTGTCTGAGATGCTGCACCACTTTTAGCATGGTCCTAATGGAGTCTTTAGTGAAGCATACAGTTGTGGAATCTAACAAAAAATTTAAGTCCCCATTATCAATCTGTATACAAGTACAATTTCACAGAAAACGATATAATTTTCAGTATTAAATCAAGTTTTTCAAAGACTCTTCTAAACCTAAACAAAAGTAAACAGGATCTTTAACATCAGAATTCAGCAAACTTAGCAATATATCCTTCAGCACCAAATTTTAGAAAATGAAATATATATAGATATTTATAGATCAGACATAAAACCTTTTTACCATGGAGATGGGAACAGTCTAACAATAGGCAGTCAGAAATATTTCTTTGCTTGGCAACTTGGTAAAAATGACGATCAGTTTGAGGCTGAAATAGGGAGCAAGTTCTTCCTTAGTCATTCATGTTTCATGTGTTAGCTTTGTATATTGCCCCTTGAACACTCAAGGTCCTATTGAGTCAGTCTCCTAATAATAGCTGCAGACTGTTTCACTGAACAGCATGTAGAAGATCCATCACATGTCATCAAACATTGGAGTAATCACAACAGCACATCACATTTCTATGTTCAACTATGTAATATATACAAAGAGGGATCTGAATTTTGGAAGACAGTCCACTATCCAAAGAAATATTTGCATAAAAATTTGGCAATATATATTTCTGACAGCTTAAAATATGACCTCAAAAAGTCAGGAATGACAAATTTAAGTTCATAACTTGGTACAGAGAAGCTAAAGGTGAGTAAATGACTACTTTTTGTTAAGTAACACTCTTTCATCAAAAGAAGAACTCAAACTTCACCTCATCGCTTTTGGCTGAGAGATTTGCATGGCATTCTCACCTGTCTTGTCTACAGGTGTGACACTGCGGCCTTCCAGGTTACCATGGCCACAGTGGGTGGAGAAGAACGCAGACACTTGTCGGGACAGAACATCTTTGTGGATTTCTGCTCCTTGTACCAGGATGTCATGTATCAGCAATGGTAATACGATCTCACAGAAGTTTGTCTGTACAGGTAAAAATACAGGTGTACATTTGTCTGTCAATAGCTCTTGGTAAATCAATTATATTCAATTACTTGGCAAATAATGAAATTATGAAGTGTTCCACATATCATATTTTTCTTCAAAAGATGAGACTACAATGCTTCAAACTTTTATGCTATCATACCAATTCCATTACATATACTTTATACAATGTCAAATTAAATTGAGCAGGTAACAAATCACAAATAAGTAGTTATGAGAGTATCTAATTAAGTTTGTTTAGAGACCTGTATGACTCTGCTTGAGGATCTATGCTTGGTTGGCTCAACAAATCTTTCAAATTTTGAAAAAGATACTGACATGTATCCAGATGTAGGGGAAACCAAAACAGCAATGAAATTAAGTGGTAGGTTAATAATGTATCAAACAACTTTCCTCTGATAGTTGTGATATATGGTGTTCTATATACCTTCCTTTCACAGATGGGTTCTAATAAGGCCAGAATCTCATCCTTGACAGCGCCACTCTGTATCAGTGTGACGGTCAGTCTCCTGACCCAGTTTCCATGGTTACTGGTGTTAGACAACCATAGTGTTTCCCTGTCTACAAGTCCACAGAACTGGTCAGTACTTGTTGGTTGTTTGGACTTTGTACGAGCTGTTACCTGTTCAACAGAATGTTCCATTTCAGAATTAATTTTCTTTCAATTCTGACTAAAATTCCTAAGAAGTCATGTTGTCATGTCTTACTTTGCATAGCATTAAAAACATCACAAAGAAACTACAACAATTATTTCTGTGAGAGATAGAAATTTAAATACTTTGTACACTTCTTATGAAATTAAAGTTTCCTTTAGGAGTTATGAAACTTAAGTTGACAAAAGAGACTTGCTGACAACCATACTGCATTTCAGATGATGAAAGTTTCTAGCATATATTGTCAAATTATTGGCAAAAACCAAACATTCTTTCCATGGAAAAACAGACGCATCAACCATTGAAATTCTGACCAGAGAAGCAAAATTTAAAGCAAGAGATTTAAGTAAGAGATCATTTTATGAATTTAGCTTGATGGGTTGCAAAAAACTTGTTTTTGTAATTTCTCTATCTTGGCAGGAAAGGTCTTGACTCAGAAGGGATGTAGATATTTGAGATGATGGTCCTTACCTTTTTCTTGACTCTGAAGGGATGTAGATATTCTATGAGGTGGTCCTTATCACTGACTTTCTCCTTGTAGATGGTGGCGAAGTCTGTACCAGTATTTGTACACAACATTGACTTGAGGACATGCGAGGCAGCCTCTACTATATCAACACTGTACATGGAGAACACAGAAAATGGAGCTGTTTCTTAGCCAATCAAATCACAGCAACTTGCAATAACAATATGACAGCACCTCCATTAAGTGAATGAAAGTTATTTAATGAGGAATACATCAATCATTTCTAAAGGCTAGTGTGTTAAACATGTTTCAAGTATTTCACATCACTGTACATCCATCTAATCGCCTAATATAAATGCTCAAAACTATGCTACAGCCATCATGCCTATCGGTGTACTGAAACAGGAGCTGTTTATCATCATTTCTTGTTTCCTTTTTATTGTGATTTCATCTGAAAAATGTCGTTTCACTAAGATTCAGTATTGAATTAACTATGTAATTATTTGAATATGGGGAAATGTAAGCCACGATAAAAACTGTTATCCATTTTGTTATTTTCCAAGTACATGAAACTAAAAATGCAGTGAAAATTTGAAGTGAAAGCTGAAATATATGTTATGCTTTAGGACTACTCTATGAATAGTGGGTGAAGACAAACATCTGTACTGGAGAGAGAAAACGACTGTGGACTAAAGTTTTGCTGCATACCTTATTAAGTATTTTGACCTTTTTTTTTCATTTCTCTTTTTTGCAATTTTAAGTATGTTTTTGCTTTTGTAAATAACAAAAACATGATCCAACATTATTATTTTATTTATCTTTGTTGATGAAGAAATATATTATCTTTGCCGATAAAGAACTTTATTTATATTTGTTGATGAAGAATTTTCTTTATTTTTGTTGATGAAGAATTTTATCTATCTTTGTTGATGAATAAGGTTTTGCTTACTCTTGATCAACCAGGTATGTGTTGAGTGTATGGAATATAACACAATAGTTCTGGAGGTATGTGTCCTCTTCAAACACCTCCTTAGCCTCTCGTAAACATGCCAATTCTGTCACATCTGGTAGAGCAACTGTTGCCATGTTAACAGGACCAATCTTTCCTAAACACTGTGTAACCTTGTCCTTGACCCTGTCTCCAGAGGTCAAGGCCATGTAGACCAGTTTACAAACCAGTTTACATAGAAGATTATCTGTTGATTTATCTGTTACAAATAAAAGAAATAGATTTATCAATGATCAATGAAACAATTATTCATTACTGGGAGTAAAGCGAATTGATTTATCTGTTATGATTAAACAAGAATATATCAATCTATAGTCCACAAAACAGGATACATTCTCCTCTTGGAATCAAATAGAACATATTTATCTGTAGAGAATAAAGGAGCATAGCAGAATATATTTATCTGAGGGGAATAAAAAAGATAGATTTCTTTGCGTAAATCTAAATAGCATAGATCTACAGTATGCAAAAATAATAAAACAGCTACAGGTATATACTTATCTGTGAATAGGTTGATAAAGCGAATAAATTTGTTTCAGTATATAAGCCTATTTTTGTGGAGAATAAAAAAAACTGATCAGAGATGGAACAATCTTTGCAGTTTAACACCCTCATCTCGGATGACTGTATTGACAAGAACTGTCCAAGGCAAACGAATCATGAAAGGCCAGAAATAGGTGAAACAGGAAGAAAGGGTTGATTTGTAAGTTTATGATATATCAAGGCATTCATACGGACATGAACATTTCTACCTAATTAATAAACACCAGACACAATTAGCATTAGATACAATAAATACCAGACATTATAAACACGAGGTGTAAAATTTGAGGTGAAGAGTTTGTTTTAGTACCACATTACAGATAGTGACAGTGAGTTGCACCTTGTTCCTCTCTGGCCAGCACTAGGACCTCAGATTTTTGGGAGTGTAACTTCTGTGAAAGATGCTGAAGTCCCTCAATCCTGCTCTCTGAATGACCACCAGTCATCTCACACACTGACAGAAAATGTTCTATTTCCTATCAAAATGAAAATATCACAGATCTGTCACAAATATATCTTCAATAAAACAAAATTTCTTTGAAGTATGTTGTGAATGAAACAGAATCAATGTGAGAGATCAAAAATAAAGAATGAACAATACATAATACAAATCATGTGAGCTAAATTGTATCACACTTTAGATTTTCTAGAAATAATGGCTGTTACCTGTTTTAGTGAAAAGGTGCCCCTAATGAACTTAAAAGTCTGTTGTAGGTAACAGCTAATCAGGTGAGCTAAATTGTAACCCACTCAAGTTTTTCTAAAAATAGTGACTGTTACCTGTTTAAGTGAAAAGGTGCCTCCTGCAAACTTGAGTCTGTTGTAGGTAACAAGCAGCTGTGAGAACACCTCTGTGTTGGGGAAGGGGTCAAGTGATATGATACCCTGCTTTAGAACGGCATAGTTGTCCAAAATCACCAAACGTAGCAAACCAGCTGCCTAAAGATTTGTCAAAACAAGTAAGCTCAGGAATTACTATTAGTCTTTAAAAAAATCATAAAAATGCATATTTCAAATGACTTTTGTTTACCCGGTAATATGCAAAGTTTTAAGCTAGAGAAGGACTAAAGAACATGTCTGGGCAAAATATAAATATGAGATGACTTAAAAGAACATGCAAGCTTAGATTCAAAGTACCAGACACATCTAGAATATCAGTGTAAGATACAGTTTGTGTATTGTATTTTTTAGCCACTGATATCTTCCAATATGACTTTTTTTTCATTTAAATCAGACGTGAAACATCGTGAAAAAAAGCCTGGACAGTAACTGTGAAGCACTAACCTCTTCTCCCACTATCCCAGAACTTTCAGCAATTGGAACAAGGCTGCTCACAAAAAATGTCAGGTACTTCTCAAATTCCTGTAAAAGTATGACATCACTTGAAACTATCCTTCAGAAACAAAAACTGAAGTCACATGAAGCACAGACTCGTTTTGATTTTAAAAGTAATATAAGCTCAAGTGAATTTGAAGCAAAGTTTTAAATTAAATTCCCCTATAAACAAGATATTATAAAGTATATATATATATATATATATGTATATATAAAAATACTTCAGATACCTATCAACAGAATAATCTTATTTTGATGTAAAGTCAGCTTACAAAAAAAGCTACCAGTGTCAACAGAAATGTTGGATATGTAACGGAACATGGATTATGTAGGTGATACACATACACCAGTGTAAATCTTCATACAAACAACACACATACATGAGTGTAGATCTTCATACAGGTGACACATATATATGAGTGTAGATCTCCATACAGATGACACACATACATGAATGTAGATCTCCATACAGGTGACACATATACATGAGTGTAGATCTCCATACAGATGACACACATACCTGAGTGTAGATCTCCATACAGATGACACACATACCCGAGTGTCAATCTCCATACAGATGACACACATACCTGAGTGTAGATCTCCATACAGATAACACACATACATGAGTGTAGATCTCCATACAGGTGACACACATACATGAGTGTAGAGCACCATACAGATGACACACATACCTGAGAACAGATCTCCATACATGTGACACACATACATGAGTGTAGATCTCCATACAGATGACACACATACATGAGTGTAGATCTCCATACAGGTGACACACATACATGAGTGTAGATCTCCATACAGATGACACACATACATAAGTGTAGATCACCATACAGATGACACACATACCTGAGAACAGATCTCCATACATGTGACACACATACATGAGTGTAGATCACCATACAGATGACACACATACCTGAGAACAGATCTCCATACATGTGACACACATACATGAGTGTAGATCTCCATACAGATGACACACATACATGAGTGTAGATCTCCATACAGATGACACACATACATGAGTGTAGATCTCCATACAGATGACACACATACATGAGTGTAGATCTCCATACAGGTGGAAAACTTACCTGAGAACAGATCTCCATACAGGTGACACAAAGGTCTCTCAGAAGCTCCAGAGCCATACAGGCAATATTCTCCCTGTAGGCCACTTCCTCAGTCACTGGGCTGTGGAGACACCAACTTGTCATTAGGAAGACATTCACTATTTAAATCAATATTTCTTTCACATTTTGATAAAATTTGACTATTTGTATTGGAATGTATCATCTGAGGTTACATGGTAATAGTGACATCAACATAAAAGAAAGTTAATTTTTGGCAGCAGCCTTAACTTCAGATTTGACTGTTTACAGACACTGTATCCTTGAGGATAAGCATAAATTGACACATGACCTTGACCTACCTGTTCACAGACACCATGTCCTTGAGGATATATATAAGCCGGTACATGACCTCCCTCATAATGAAGGCCCAGTTTCCCCCCAGCTGGCCATCAAACTCCTTAAAAAGGAGTTTACAGAAAAGGCGGTACATCATCAGAATGCGACGCTTGTCATGAAGTCTGTGTTCTTTGGTCAGCTTGATAGCCAATTCTAACAGTATCTTTTGTATCTGGTCCTAAAACACACATAAACATCACAAAACTTGCTTGAGTTATGTACCATACAGCCAATGCTAACAGTTCTATCTTATCAAATCTGTCATTTTCACACACAAATATGTAAGACAAACTGATCATGTAATAATTATTTGCCAATTAACTTTCTAAACCAAAACCTGAAGAACCAGGAAAACTGTTCTTCCTCATGGTTTTCACGTTAGACAGGATCAATAAGAAACTATGAATATTGTGAGAGATTATGATGCTAATTTCAAAATATTTCTGGATGTAAAGCCCTTTATTGTATTAAACAGGCATTACTTTGCTGAGATTTCAGGGACATATAATTTTTAAATAGAGATTTATCTCCTGTCAACTTACATGTTTACGGGACAGGACATCTATCAGTGACTTGTTGTTACTGGAGAAGCTTTGTGTAAGGTAGTCCAAGGTTGACTTAATCATGTAGGTATTAAAACAGGGAGGGTTGGGCTCCGGCTCCATATCCCTGGAAACCAAAAAAATCAGAGTCATAAAATAGGTCAGGAGGAGCAAGGTTGACTTTGCTACGATGGAACATCACAAAAAAAATGTCATGGTATCAGTATCATCATCACAGAAGAATAGATATATGAATGATGATCTTTAAAACGCCTTTACTAACAAATGGCCCGATAATGTTAATCGTTATGAAGAAGAATATCTGCGATACCTAAGTATCTCCTTACGCAATCCTTTTCAAGTGATATTACCTTATAATACCTGTCTGAATAAACTTGTCAGTATCTGTGTCATACAAACACATGAGGATGTTGACGACGATCTCATCTAGGTTGCTCACAATAGTCGTTTCTAACACCTGTAAACAACAGGTAACCGTTAATATCAACAGAAGAACCAACAGAAGACGTAATACAGCACTCTCTCAAATATCTAATTAATATATATATAATAAAAAAATAGAAATTAACTCTCACCTTTTCACTTAATATACTGCCATGTTTTCAAATGGTGACTTCTGTTCACAGTATAACAGATTTATTCATCAATGTTTATTTTTTTGCTATTTAAGAATGTATGGGGAATATTGAAATGGGTAATTTTAACTGAGAAAGACGAACATTATATATTTTCAGTTCCTACTCTTCAGTGGAGAAAATATGACATGGTTAAAACTGGATTTTCTAGATATCATACGAAAATGTGAAATTTCTTAGTGGCATATCACATCATTACTGTTAAGTTATATTATAACCTGACATTATGACCATGATGAGAATGGTTGCATGTATGTCAATAACATGTTAATATACTTATACAATTTTTGTAAAATTTTGAAAAAAAAAAAAAACCAAAAAACAAAAAAAAAAAAAAAAAAAATAAAAAAAAAAAAAAAAAAAAAACAACAACAAACAAACATATATAATACTTCCACCATTGGAAAACTGAAAACTGTCCTCGTATGACCCTGGCAAGTGCAAGGATCTTAAACCCCATATAAACAGAACAAATTCCTCCAGAAGCATCCCCAATACTTCTACCTCTCTTGTTGCCTCCTGTGACAGTAAATCATAACATTGCGTAGCTTGGGCTGTCCGCCGCCTCACAGTCTCATCTCCTGACATCTCTCCCAGACGTGTGGCTGCAAATAATGGCAGGATGTGGACCACTGTTTTAGGGATACACAACGTCAATGTCTCTGTCCAGTCCTTTCCCATAGCAACTACTATCTCCTTGGCATTGTCCATCTTCTTCTTCATAATCAATTCTGGTATTAAAATTTTGTAATGGTCCCTGGTGGTAGGAGTAGAAAAAAAATACTTAGATCCCTATGAAACAACCTGAAAATGTGTTGCAAATGCAAAGTGAGTTCTGACTGATTTTTTGAAAAAGAATATTTCCTGAATAATCTTCAAAAGAAAATAATGGCTAAGCATCAGGAAATAGATTGTGATGTTAAAATTTACAATACCTGTAGAAGTGCTGTTTAGTGTCACAAAAGGCCATCTGATGTGGGAACTCTGTGACAGGGTAGCCGAGTCCCAACCACTGGTGCACTAGGTATGGAAGGTGGTCAGCCATGAAAGTGTGACCATCTTTGAAGCGGAGAATTTTAGAAACCTTCTGGATTATCTACAACAGTAGATTGCAGTAATCAGAGAAACTATATGTATACATTTGTATGTCACTAAAATACTTCAGAATACATTTTTGAAGCATACTTTGTGTTCGTAAAAAAACCTAACCCACATATCTAAGTAATTAAGATTAAGACAGATTCCAGTCACTTACGTTTTGAATTTGTTTAATTTCCACATCATTTTCCTTGATGAGTTGACACAGAGCAAACATTGCCTTCTTCTCACAGACTGGACTGATACACATAATGTTTCCCAAAGTTGTTAGCACGCTCCCTGTCCTGTTCTCACGCTCATCGTGGGCACGCTCTGGAGTCAACCGTCCCTGTCATAGACACATCACCAAAATACACTCATTGATGGGAGACTTGTCTATATCTGATGTCATAATATGTTTTATCACACACGTGTAATACACAAAAATCTTCCATAGGTGTATTCACTGAATATCATTCTTGGTACTTTCTCAATATTTTCTTAAATACCTCTCATTACACATGCTTTAAACAGCAACAATAAAAGATTTTTTTCCCATTTGAACTGGATAGACACTCTGAATACTAGCTCATATATAACTATACACCTGCTCTCCAGCAGGAAAAAGGGGACAAATTGAGTCTAGATTTTAAATTTCAATTGGTAAATTCAATTCTTCATAAAATCATCTCTATTGACATTAATCATGCAGCTGTGCATTATGAGCCAAACCTGAAAATCCAAGCTTTCATTGATGATCTCATAGATTTTATCGAATGCCTTGTCCTGTTCTACCCTGTCTCGTGGAACCTTTCTTTCTTGTCCAACCATAAACATCCTGAAGCAGAAAGAAAGGTTAATTTTACACACGTACGTCATATAAATCCCAACACAAATCTTGTAACTACAAATCCACAAACGACCTTAAACTAGTAGTTTTTAATATCAATTAAAACTTAATATCTAAATTTTGAAACTTTTAGCTGAAATGTAGTTTAAACAGCATTTAATCAGAAATAGTGGATTTAATACTTTTTCATGTGCAAGGATCATGAGAATTGTACACAAGTAACAATCCTACCCCATCCTGACCTACAAGACATTCAAGATAAATATTACTGTACTTACTGTATTATGCCTTGGGCAGCATACATCCTCACAGAGTGGGCGGGGTCAGACAGGTACTGCATGAACAATAGATCTATTGGTGTGTTACCTGTATTCTCGTTATCACGAGGTATGGACAGGTGAACCCATCTCTTCTCAGGATCAACCTGTAGGAGCTGCATGATACACTTGGCAATTGCCAGTCTCACTTTACAGCAATACTCGTCATCCTGTAACTTCCTGTAAATAAACAAACAATTGTCAACCTTACTTTACAACAATACTGGTCATCCTGTAACTTTCTGTTAATAAACAATAACCAGCCTTTTTTTTTTCACAGCAAACTGGCCATTCTGTAACTTCCTGTAAATAAACAGAAAATTGCCAGTCTAACTTTACAACAATACTGGTCATCCTGTAACTTCATGTTAATTGAAGAACAAACGATTACCTGATATTTCATAACAACAATATATCAATACTTTTCTACGAGGTGTTAGGACACAAAATATGTAATGTTAAGAATGTAGAGAATTGTTAAGTAGATGATTTAGACAAATCCACTGACCAGAAAGCTGACAACAAGCTGATGGTTGTATCACGACACTCAAGCTTGGTTTTGGTAGGCAGATCCTCGTCCTCATCATCGGCCAGTCGCCTAGCAACGTGTCCAAGGAGTTCAAGACAAGTGAAACTCACATTCTGGTCTTTCCGTTGTACCTTGGCAACTTGTCTGAGAGAAACATTAGATATCAACAGCCTTAGACAGCAGCTGACAGTGGTGATTTCAGAACAAATTACACAAAAATGTGCACCTTTCACTTTCTCTGCTGGTCAATGATAGTTTCACATGGAAAAATCTGGAATGATTTATTGTTGGGAAATCCTAATAGATCATTAAGGATGAAATTTGCAATGAAAAACAATTAAAATAATTCAAATTCTACCCCAATTCAAATAACACCAGATTCTATTTGTGTATTACTATTCAGTACCTGATAGCGCCCACCATATTATCTAGATCTAAGTCTCCTAGCTGTTGACACGGGCGGGTCAGACAAGTCATCATCTCTTTCATCTGTATATACAGAGGCACAAAACAGTATTTCATTAATCAACAGTAAACATTTTATTTTACAAATCAAGAGTTTAAAAACTTAAAGGACAAGACAACTATAGAAAAGAAATAGATGAGATCAGCCAAAACAAGGACTGGGCAATTATAGAAAAGGAACGGATCAGATTAGCTGAAAAATTCAAAGCAAGATTTCCAGGCAAATATATGTCTTAGTCATTTTTTTCAAATATACAACTGGTTTTAAAAGTGCCTTAATAGAAATGAAATACTGAATGACAATGGTTTATTTGTGGAAGTTGAATGAAACTCATGTAGAGAAAATTACAGATTCTTACCAACTGAAGGTCTACAGCCTTATGGGGGTCAAAACTGTCCTCCCCCAGTAGTTCTCCTAGCTTTTCCTTGACAACACTTGGGTCTGTGTCTGTGTGAAAGGGTGTGGCCTGTCTCATCTCCATAGTATCAAACCCTGCCCACAGACAAAGGACGCCTGCAGCATCCACTCTCACTCTCTGAGCATCCGTCAACACAGTAGGTGATAGAAGGCTCTGAAAATCTGCACCATGTATCATTATGTTAAGCACTGATCACCTTACTATAGCCATCATGTAGAATGCTTCGGGGGCCAAAAAGTTTACCTGTAGATCAAATTCAGTTAGTGGGCTATTACAGGACAATGAATCAGTACTAAATTGAAAATATTGAACAGCAACTATACTTCATTGTTTGTCAACTGAAAATTTCCATGAGGAGAATGAATCTAATAATATATTATATTTATTGGATCTAAGGAGATTTCCTTAGGACATGTACAGGTGAAAATATAGATTAAGGAAATGGATGACTTAGAGGATTGTCTACAGATTACTTTATGGATGAACTTTGTAAAAAAGTCTATCTACGTAGGTAGACAACAGAGTGATATAAAACGAAATGTATACATGTATACAACTGTACATCATAACGACAAAAGGTAATTGATATATTAATTATAAACAAAGATAAATAAAACAAAGAGAATTTATTTTGTTTGTATCGACACACTTACCATCCCCTTGTTTGGCTGCCTCATCCAAATCCTGTGAATCTCCAAAACCATCATCACAACCAAGGTCATCTGTGGTGTCCTTAACAGATGTGTCGTCAAACTCAAGATCCATATCATCAAAGTCCTCTAGAATCCTTCCTCTCCGTGATGTTCTGTCTTGACTTGTGCTAGTATCATGCTTAGTTCTTTTAGAAACCTAAGAAATAAATGCTTATAATATTTATCTAAAGAATTCTGGATTTTACATCCTGGTGTGAAGGCAGAATTACCATCAAATTTCAAATCATAGGTGAAGTGTTTCTTGTAAATCAATTCCAACAATATCGAAGTGTTACAAGAATTCTACATCAGGAATTCAACAATTTGTAACACAGAGATATTATGGTTACAGAAAGTGTTACTCTATAAGCTTATCTCCGAGGAACAGGTTATGGGGACACATTATGGAAAAAATCTTTACATCCGATATTCATTAACAAAATCATATTTTGAGGACAATTTTTTTTTTTTATAGAGCATTAAGTTGAAAAAATGATATTTTTAATAATGAACTTGAATAAAAACTTTATGTGTAGATGTACAACTAGATATGAGCTTTGTCCTTTTTTGTATACTGGTGCAGGTTTCTTACTGTAACTACAGCCATATTAAGGAGAGTGTCTACAGCCTTGGCTGGCATTAGAGAGCGGACTAGTCTGGCAACTATGATCCCTGCACTGTCTGATTCCTCCCATTCTAACATCACCCGTAACCATGGCAACACACTCACAAGCTCCACTGCGCCATGATTCTGATGAATATCGTTTATAAACGTTCCAATTTTCCTAAGAACAGATTTCAATACACTTAATATATCCATTGAAGCCAAATTGTCTTTTGAAACAAGTTCATATTTTAGCAACCAGTATATAAATTTGGTGATTTGACATGCTTCCTTTGCTAGAGACTGTGTGTCTACAGCCTGTGGTTCTGAGAACTCCAGCAAAGAGTTAACATTTTCTTTCATGTTTTCCTCAATTCGTCTCAACAATACAGACAGTAGAACACTTTCCTTGCTTCCAACATCTTTGTTCTGAGTCGTTAATTGTCTGCTATATAACGGAAAGTCGTGAGAAGATTCTAGATATATTCTTTCAAGGTCTGTTACAAAATCTTTCTCCTCGGGTGGAACAAACATTAGACACGATGGATTTTTCATCACAAGTAATGTTAACACCTGTCCTACTAAACCAGGGTCAAGGTCATATTTAGGCTTGGTTGCCATGGTTCCATCAATAACAAGACGTGGAGGCAGTAGCCATTCCAGAAGTTGCATTCTAAGTGGATATAACTGTTGACCATCAGTTGCCATGGAACTGAGGAGACTAGGCTGATAATTTTCTGGGAGGCTCTTTGTCATCAGGTAGGTGATGAGGAACTGTACTGCACCATCAGTGGGGTTTGAAATGGAGGGCAGGAAGAGATTCCATATATCTCTTTCACAAGGCACTAGTTCACTTCTCAGCATCTCTGTCAGAAGCTTGAAACTTGGTTCTACAGCATTCTGTAGACTTAAGGCTCTGTGAAAAATCAAATGTGTTTATCATTTTATAGAGGTGTACCCGAGGCAATCATTAGTAAAATATATCAATATCATCAAAAACATTTCAAGGGTTCTAAGGTTTTTACTGCAACATGTTGTTGTGTTTCTTGCCTAATTCTTAAAGATCACAACTGAAAACAAAATCATCATGTTGAATAGAATAGCTTGAATAAGCATTAATCTGTAACTTGAGTTCTTCAGTAAGTGCAGCCCCCAGATATTGTGTATTTGCACTGTTATAATGACACTGTCTTAAGTCATATAAGGTATAACTGGTGTATATAGAGTTACACAAATTACCACACGACTTTTCTTCAACCAATGATGACAAGATGACTAGTATTGCTACAACACGATACCTACACGAGTTATCACAGAGGCTTAAATGGGGTTTTTTTTTGTATATTTAATGATATTATGGTTTTGCAACAAAATATAAATTATACTTACCTGAGAGTAGAAGCCCAAACTTTTTTCCAGATAGTCATACAGGTGTCCTGGCTGACCTGTGGGAGAGTGACCGGGTACCGTACAAAACACAGAAGGCAGTCGAGGAGGTGACCCATCAGATCATTTCTGTAAAACAGTACAGTTTGCTAATCTTAAATATCACATTCAAAAAAGGCTTCTTTTCTTTTAAGTATATAGGTTTTAGACAATGAGTATCCTATATAGTGTTATTGTTTAAACAGACTTGAGATTTAACAGTTTGAAGATGTCCACAAACCTTTTACACTGGGCCAGTAGCTGAGACAGACAGTGTAGATACTGTGGAAACTCGTCCTCTGGGAAGCTGCTCGGGTATTTCTCAATCACACGCTTTGTCAGTTGTAGCCTATAGAATTAAAAATTTATATTTCAAATCTTTCTGGAGGGAAAAGTGGAGTAACTGTGGCAATTTCATAATAGCAAAATGTCACTTCATTTTTCAAAATCTATTTTTATCATAATAATTTTGTTCTTGGAATTCTCATGAGTTGGATGCTTCTACAGTTATTAGAATCTACCTCCTCCTCAAAATCTCCGTATGAAGATTTTAATGAGATGACACTGGGTAATTCGGAACCAAATCTGCTAAGAGGTTCTCAAGACATAAAATTGATTTAAAACAGGATAGAAGGTGAAAGAATGGATGGACGTGATATTACTCTATACACTTTCGTAAGATAGGCAGGGATATAGAAATTGAGAATCAAAGTGGACCAGTAAAATACAAACCAGGATTCTTACATTTTGTAAAGAGTGTTCCTATGTGATAATTCTACACATCCACAGGTCAACAGTAATAGTTTTTTAAAAATGATGTATTGATGTTCACCAAACAGGCTATTCACTAATATCAGCAATTATCTCTACATTACAGTGTTTCCTATTCACTAATATCAGCAATTATCACTACATTACAGTGTTTCCCTGTTGATGTTTTACCGTTTTCACAAATATTTCAAATTTGTGTTATCTATATCCAATGGATGAAGGGTACATAATCTCACCATGGCACCAGTTGCTGGCTCTGTCCTAGGGAGCTTAAATTATCCCGAATGGCATGCCATCCCGATTCTAAGCGTCGTTTCTTACTCCTTGGACCCTGATCTGATGATTCTTCAACCTGCGTTATCTCCAGCTCCCGGCTGTCTACCTCAAACAGCTGCCAAGACATTTATAGAAAGAAGTGATTGATGCATGAAACATAAAGTTAAATATGTTTTCTTTCAAATATTTCAATTATACAATTCAGTTTAATTTCATCATTAAGATATTTCATTTCGAAATATTGAAAAAAAGTTTTAAGAGTTACCTGGTGACATAAGTCGGCAGCTAGGTTGATGTAGGCTGGTGACAACTCTGTTTCTCTGGACTGGAACACATCTCTAGCACTTCAAAACAGTCAACATTTTATGATAATATTTACTAGGAGTTGTGATGATGGTGAGATACTGACAGAATTAGCATTGTGTATCTTTATCAAATATCCAAATTATCAAAATTAAACACCTACAAGTTTATAATATCTAGAAGTAATAGAATAAAATCTCCACTCTAATCTACCTCTCTTACAGAATTGAATTTACTGTCTAACTAAATGTAAACTGCAGAGCTTCAAAAATTAGAAAGTGGTAAATTGCAGAAATTACATTGAAGCAACAGCACAATTAAATGCTAGTTTTGATTGTGAAAACTTACTGTCCTGAAAACTTTGTACGGCCTCCAAGCTGTTTTAAATCTCCATGTATAACTTCATAAAGTTTTCTCAGATGACTCTGAAAATATGTATTTATATACTTCAGTGAAACAATAGATTGTGAAATGATGGGAAAGGACCTTACAAAATGTATTTTGACATTATATCTTTAACATAACCTTTTCCTTCTTGTTAATATTCTACTTAGTACACATATAAACCTAGTTTTTCTATAAAATCATGCCATCAAGTCCTCAACTTATAAAAGGTTATTTACATCTCAAAAGAATATTTTCTTTCATAATCTACTGCTGAAAGTGAAAACAGACACACTAGATACAAGCTAAGTGAGGGTAAAATATGCAACATACATATGGCACATCTGGATTAGAGAATGAATATAAGACATGAATGGTCACTCTCCTATTCAAACCAGAATCTAATCAGGTCAAGAACACGATTTATGCTATGATAGAGTTAATATCATAACCAACCAAATCTGTTGAGAGTTGTCCTCATATGATACTGCTTCAAAACAGGACAGAAGAAATGTACACAAGAAACACTAATACGCCCCTACTCTTAAAACTGCGTAGAAGAGATGAAAGTTCTTGAATATAAAACTATGTTAAAGGGGAGACAATCTTACCATCCACACATCCCAGTCAACTGCTGTTGCCTCCGGAGTTCCTCGTCGTGCTCCTCCTGGGTGGTGACATTCCATCTGGAGGTGCAGGAATTCTACCACTTCATTCTGAATGTCAACATGTTAAACATATCATAAGTGCTTACTGTAAGAGAGACTAATGTATATGTAACGCCCTCGAACTACATCTTACATTCCAAAAGCAGGGACTATGTACAAATCATCTTTAGTGAAAATGAAGTTTTTTTTTAATTACAGACAACAGTGATTTTGAGCCCTGAGAATAGTATGTGACACCAAACATACAAATATTTCTACTCATGGTAGACATTGGTGTGAATATTTCTACTCAAGTCAGACATTGATGTGAATATTTCTACTCATGTCAGACATTGATGTGAATATTTCTACTCACAGTAGACATTGAGGTGAATATTTCTACTCATGGTAGACATTGGTGTGACTATTTCTACTCAAGTCAGACATTGATGTGAATATTTCTACTCATGTCAGACATTGGTGTAAATATTTCTACTCATGGTAGACATTGGTGTGAATATTTCTGCTCATGTCAGACATTGGTGTGAATATTTCTACTCATGGTAGACATTGGTGTGAATATTTCTACACATGGTAGACATTGGTATGACTATTTCTACTCATGGTAGACATTGGTATGACTATTTCTACTCATGGTAGACATTGGTATGACTATTTCTACTCATGGTAGACATTGGTAGGACTATTTCTACTCATGGTAGACATTGGTATGACTATTTCTACTCATGGTAGACATTGGTGTGAATATTTCTACTCATGGTAGACATTGGTGTGAATATTTCTGCTCATGTCAGACATTGGTGTGAATATTTCTGCTCATGGTAAACATTGATGTGAATATTTCTACTCATGGTAGACATTGGTGTGAATATTTCTACTCATGGTAAGCATTTGATGTGAATATTTCTGCTCATGGTAGACATTGGTGTGAATATTTCTACTCATGGTAGACATTGGTGTGAATATTTCTACTCATGGTAGACATTGGTGTGAATATTTCTACTCAAGTCAGACATTGATGTGAATATTTCTACTCATGTCAGACATTGGTGTGAATATTTCTACTCATGTTAGACATTGGTGTGAATATTTCTACTCATGTCAGACATTGGTGTAAATATATGGACTCAAGGTAGACATTGAGGTGAATATTTCTACTCATGTCAGACATTGGTGTGAATATATGGACTCAAGGTAGACATTGAGGTGAATATTTCTACTCATGTCAGACATTGGTGTGAATATTTCTACTCATGTCAGACATTGGTATGACTATTTCTACTCATGGTAGACATTGGTATGACTATTTCTACTCATGGTAGACATTGGTATGACTATTTCTACTCATGTCAGACATTGGTATGAATATTTCTACTCATGTCAGACATTGGTATGACTATTTCTACTCATGGTAGACATTGGTGTGAATATTTCTACTCATGGTAGACATTGGTGTGAATATTTCTACTCATGTCAGACATTGGTGTGAATATTTCTACTCATGTCAGACATTGGTGTGAATATTTCTACTCATGTCAGACATTGGTATGACTATTTCTACTCATGGTAGACATTGGTGTGAATATTTCTACTCATGGTAGACATTGGTGTGAATATTTCTACTCATGGTAGACATTGGTGTGACTATTTCTACTCATGTCAGACATTGGTATGAATATTTCTACTCATGGTAGACATTGGTGTGAATATTTCTACTCATGGTAGACATTGGTGTGAATATTTCTACTCATGGTAGACATTGGTGTGAATATTTCTACTCATGTCAGACATTGGTATGACTATTTCTACTCATGTTAGACTGGTGTGAATATTTCTACTCATGTCAGACATTGGTATGACTATTTCTACTCATGGTAGACATTGGTATGACTATTTCTACTCATGGTAGACATTGGTATGACTATTTCTACTCATGGTAGACATTGTAATATTTCTACTCATGGTAGACATTGGTGTGAATATTTCTACTCATTGGTGTAAATATTTCTACTCATGTCAGACATTGGTGTAAATATTTCTACTCATGTTAGACATTGGTGTGAATATTTCTACTCATGTCAGACATTGGTGTAAATATATGGACTCAAGGTAGACATTGAGGTGAATATTTCTACTCATGTCAGACATTGGTGTGAATATTTGGACCCATGGTAGGCATTTGATGTGAATATTTCTACTCATGGTAAACATTGGTGTGAATATATGGACTCAAGGTAGACATTGAGGTGAATATTTCTACTCATGGTACATTGGTATGACTATTTCTACTCATGGTAGACATTGGTGTGAATATTTCTACTCATGGTAGACATTTCTACTCATGGTATGACTATTTCTACTCATGGTAGACATTGGTGTGAATATTTCTACTCATGGTAGACATTGGTGTGAATATTTCTACTCATGTCAGACATTGGTATGACTATTTCTACTCATGTTTGACTGGTGTGAATATTTCTACTCATGTCAGACATTGGTAAGTTGGTGTGAATATTTCTACTCATGGTAGACATTGAGTGTGAATATTTCTACTCATGTGGTGTGAATATTTATTTCTACTCATGGTACTCATGTCAGACATTGGTGTGATGATATAAGTTCTACTCATGTATCAGACATTGGTGTGAATATTTCTATATGACAGAGACAGGTGAATTGGATTGTACATTCATCAAAGTAGACATATATGTTAGAACATTTAAACTCTACACACACTCTGATGCAGTTGTGAATGATACTCTACACTTAATTCAGAGACATTTCTTTATCATAAAGATCCCTAGCTCATAATCAATGTTTGATGGATAAAAAACTTTTAGCAGTTATTTGTTAATTATTTTCTTAATATAGAGTAAATCAGCTCTATTTGCTTTGTTGTATTTATAGCTATATACATCAACCCTTCACTAAGTTATGTTACATACGACACAATACTTCTCCCCTATTTTGACAAGAAATATATTTAAGGCTGAAAGCAGATTCTCCACAACACCTGATGTCTTCTCCTGTCTGTGTATAAATAAAAGGGTTTTATAACATTTGTAATATTTTAGCCAAATTCAATTTTAATGCAGTTAAAAATTTTGAATTGCAATAACATTCAACATAATCAATCGGTTGAAGAATTGAGGAGAAGACAACTTGGGTTTAAATTAACACTCTTCCAAAAACATTCTCCAATTTCTATCACTTTTAGTGTCAATATCCATTGACAAAAATGAAATGAAACTAATGATTACCTGACATTTTTGAAGTAATCTGAGAAGAATTTGAGAAGACGTTTAGGTCTTAAATCACACTGGGTGGTAGCGCCAGAGATCAACACCCGAATCAGTCGTGAGAGTAAGGTCTTGTCAATCTGACTGTCAGTGTCCATGAACATCATGAAGTAGAGTGCTATCAATTCTATAAAAAAAAACATATAGTAATATGGGTGGTAAGGTGGCGCAGTGGTTACACACTTGCCTTTCATATAGGCATGCAGAGTTTGATTCCTGACTAAGATGTAAAAAAGTATGGGATTATCTCCCTGACCACATGAGTTTTACCGTAGTCCTCCAGTTTCCTCCCACAGGAAGACCCCTCGCACATTTCCATCCGGGCCAACAAGAGTGATGCATATAAGCTTGGCAATCATTGTAAAAAGAACAAGTTTATATCTATCTATGTCATAACATGGAATTGTTTGTATGACGTCATATTTTTGGGTTATACATACATGTATGTAGTATTTTAATAAAATACTTCTCATTATAAACAGCATTATTTTGAAACTTAATCAATTTCGTTGATCAATATTTATAAAGAAAAGTACAAAAAATATCCATCAAATCAAGTCCATCATTTTTATCATAAATGATTTCATGATATGTTCTGGAAACACAGTTTGCATCTTTAAGATTTATAATCCGTATTAACAGTCTTTGAATTGTATTCTGCACAAAAATTGAGACCTTGAATATAAAAAGTGACTTTTGAGATCAGCCTTTGCACAATAGTGCTGCCAAGATTGAAACAACCAACAAATTTAATATATATTCAATTCGAGATCGTTTGGGAAATTCAATTTCACAAAAGGAAACAGTAACAACACATCAGTTCTTAATTTTGGAAACATTTAAATCCCTTTGAAATTTAATCACAACAGCAATAGCATCTAATAGGGATTGGATGGACACAGGCTAAAAGCCTCTAGATCCATATACAGGGTTTTCCATAATTTTGTTAGTAGTAGGCTGTGTAGTGAAAGTAGGAGGCTGGTCTGCCGTGTACGTGTAGTCGTGTACAGAACATTATAACGGAACTGGATTGGTGTAGGTGGTCAAATGATCAAAGTAGCCGGTCAAATTGGCCGGTGACTGGCTCTTATGGAAAACCCTGCATATATAATATTTACACACAACATAAAATCAATAACATGGTTTATAAAATGTACATATCATTCTACAATAGTATACCAACCTTGCCACATCTCCAATGTGATCTCTGTCCAATATTTACGCACAGTCAGCAGATTTTTCAGTAAGATATTACTATAGTCTAGTCCGTAGGCATTGCACATATATTCGTCCTTGAGTACATCTGTAAGGTGCTTGAGGATGCTGGAACACTTCAATCGAGGGCCACCTGTAATAATACCCATAATGTTCAGTCAGTAAAATCCTGTACAATGTATATACAATACATAATACAAAATAGCTAATAGATCCAAGTTAAGAAACGTACGTTTGTCAGCATATCTGATAACAGACTTGAAGACACCACTGATTTCCTGTTTCCGTTTCGCTCTGTTTGCAAGTGTTGAAGCTGTTTGAGCCTCTTTGGCCTTTTGTAGTGTAGTAGTCTCTACATTCACATAACCAATAGCACCCTATCAAGAAAAATGCACACACATGCATCATTTAAAACATTGGATTAAAAGTGTGGTTTACACACAGGTAAACAACAGGGGAAAAAACATTTGTCATTAAGTCAACAACACTTTTTATAATCCGATTCAAAGTGGGAGAATAGACTTATTTCAGGAAAACAAAATAGACTTTGTTGACATTTTTTACAGAACTAAAAAAACATGGATAGCATATTATGTCTTTAATGCGTGTTGTCTGATAGATATTGACGAACAGGCTGTATGAAAGCAAGATGGAATTCTGAACATTCATTCAGACACTAAGTTAAATTTAGTTATGGATGGCTAGGATTTCAATCTGATCAAATATTAAAAGGCATATAGAGTCATTTACCTACAGGACCATGAAAGTTGTGTATATGCACTTACATGTAATCTTTGGAAAAAGGCTTATAGAGAAAAAGGAAAAGTGTATGTATATTCAATAAGTTACCCAACACTACAAAGAAAGGTTTTAGTTTCTAAATTCAGCTTACATTAGACACATGGTGAGCTGAGGACAAGATACCACCTCTAAATAATTACCCGTAAAATACCATCCCATGTTATGTGACGATCCCTGCGGCTTGTCTTACTGTCAGAGGTTTTGTCCAATGCCTCTAACACAGAATTCTTTTTCAGCAGCTGCAGCAACTTCTCCACACCTTTCTGAATAGATTGAAAAAATTCACATTTCAATAACCAGGTATGAACAATAAAACTATAAGTCACTTCCTACAAATACTTTGGAAACATACTGTAAACCTATGGTAATTAACTTTAACTATGAAGTATTCCTCAAATACTGGTAGGCATCATAAAATCCTGGTAGAATGACAAATCTTGTTAAACAAATAAAGAAAGCCAGGTTTAAAGACTAGTACAACTGTATCATATATTTTAAATACCAGGTAAGTACAACCCAGTCGAGATGATATGTGTATTGTGTACAGTGAACCAAACCTTTCTGTCGGATGCTTTGTCCGCTACCAGCTGATGGCAGTATGATGCTATGTCAGAAAGGTACTCCATATTTTGATGGAAGAATCAATCTTCATGGATGCATTATGATGCTTTGAATGCACAGGTGCCTGAAAAGTATTTAACACATTAACAAATCTCAAATGAATCTGTATTGTAAATATTCTTATCAATATACAAATGTCTTTTGCATCCTGTGCATGCCTGTTCAACAAGAGCAGTACATCCCACAAAGCTAGCAGTCATATCTCTATACATATAAATGTACAAGAAAGTCATTGCTTGATCCCCAATTTAAGGGTATTGTATTGCTCAATGGAAATACATCAAACTTCAGATCCTACATCTTTTTAACAATTTTTGCTAGTTTTTGTAGGTCTTTCAGGCAGCACCAACAGATCTGAGGTTATTGTTTAATTAATGATATAAATGTAGAAATCGCTTGCAATATTGATGGCTGGTCAAACATATGTTTGTGTTTTGTGCCCATTATATACATACTTACTATACCACATTGTTTATCTTACAAGAAAAAATGTTGTATTAAAGCAAAATTTAAGTATTTAGTATATCTAAAAAAATACAAGAAATTACACATGTTAACTATTTTTTCCAATGGTAATTTGTAGTAGAAAGACATCTATTTGACAAGAGCTGACCTCCCACTGAGGAATTTGTAATTTCAAATTTCACAATGCCAAATACCTTAAAAGTCTCTTACATATATACATTGTTGGTTTTATCAGGGGCTATATGTAATGCAGAAGGGCATGTCACATGAACAGTGTCTTATAACACCGATTTTTACGATTTTTAGTGTGCACCATTCAAGAAACATATATCAGCAGCTAATATGATGAAATATGACAAAAAATGACGCCTCATGCCGTGTTACATTGATAAATATTCACGGAATTATTATAACATTTATATACTCAGACTAAGTTAAACTTGTTCTCATCGTTACACTCTCGCATAGATACATCAATGCGATCATAACATGATTCATCTAATTCATATTATCAATTGTAAACAATGTTTTTTAACTTTCGTTTTGATTTTATCTAGAATAATAGGGCCCAACCGTCGAGGCAACTTTGTATGGCTAGACCACTATAATATATATTACCTAACCGCCCAACTGTTGAAATTTGAACGTATGTAAAGTCTGAAACCATACATTGGATTCAACTGTGCAAACTTGTCATGTAAGGAAAACAACTTCACGTGGTTTTAAAATATGGCGGTGATAAACGAGCAAAGACAAAAATAATCGGTAAGATTACAAATATAATATTTTGTATATGTCCTTTCTGTGTATGTAATGATCATTGAAATAACGTATACATATTAATATACAATTCATGCAATAAATCATAGCATCGTTTGATACAAATCTAGAGTACTTAATAGGAAATTTTGACACTGATTTTATCGACTATTTGCCGCTGTATTAACCGGAAACAAAATTTGCGCAGGCGTCAATCTCTTTAGCAACCTAGTGCTGTGTGTTGTTTGGATCGTGTCTGGCAGAAAATAGCAAATATACCGGTAATAATGACGAATTACAGGGTAAGAATAGCTTCGTCTTTTTCATTGTGACATATTTTATTGATAACTTTTCCTTCGTTTGACAAATAGATATGAAATTAGTTGTTGAAATTTGTAAATGTGGCGTTGTGAAATGTTTGTGCATGCATGTGCGCGCTCAGAATTTTCGGTTCAACTTGTATCAAAACGATTAAAATTCTGTTTTCATGATAATCGACTAAATTATTTCTCAGGTTTATTTTTGTATCTTTACATACAAGGCATTACACAAATTGTATATTTCTATCGTAAATATTCCTTAAGAAATGTTGTAGTTGATATGTAAACATTGATAAGTATCAAATCACCATTTCTTATGTACAGAATTGGTTATGAGAAATGTCCAGTAATTAATACTGTCGAGTAATACAACAGTTCACTTATATTGTAAATGTAAAGTTAAAGAACATTACTTTTAAGATATTATTTAACTCAATTTGCCAGTTATATGTTATATATACATATGTTATTCAACATGAATTTCTTATCTGATGTGATATAGTATCAGCTGTACAATTTATACCTATATACAGGCCCTGCTTAGATAAAACAGTTGATAGTAGATGCTAGATAATATATAATTATGACCCTTGTGTAAGAATAAATCTTAAATTTTTTTTATTTTTTTTACCTTTGGATCACCAGGAATTATCAAGTGTAATAACTCAAAATGAAGGAACTTTCCTGACTATTTTGAGATGTTTCCACTGAAGTCCAATTTGAAAAGTTTACTTCAAATTTGGGCACCATACAATATAGTACATTTAATAAATTTACATCTGAATTTGAAACAATTTATTTGGATTTTGAAAACCTTGGCAAGTTCTGTTTGGGAATGCCACTAATATTTGGGGTCAGTTTTATAGGAAGGAAAGTCCTGAGGAAATGTCATGATTCAGAGCCTGGGACATCAGTGCTTTATTGCTGTATCTTATAGAATTGTAATTAAAATTTTCAATATTTGCTGTGCCATTCTCCTATCAATATGCGGATTACTCTCAAGAAGGCACTTCATCAGAATCTATTTTGGGCATTCAAAATACATTCAAAATACCATTTCCTCAAATCTTTACAAATTTAAATATAAGTAAGGTATAGACATATAATGATTACTACCGGATGACCAGTGTTGATGTTGTTATCAGTGTTACCTAATATGCATGCACATACATGTAAATACAATTCACTAACATTTCTCAACAGTTAATTATATTAATTATAATATCTTGAGCTTTGATTTTATAGCTGTAAAAGCACTTGTCATTGATGATAAGTACACTGAGCAAGGTGACAACAATTATCAAATCAGGTATAGCTCAGTCGACTCTGAGGAATCTCATAACATAGTTCCTCTAAAGTTTGGAGGTTTTCATATATTACTATGTATTAGTATACTCTTATACTTAAAGTTTGTGTCGCTAAAGAAGCTGAGAAATGGACTTGCCTTTACTCTTGAAGTCTTGTCTTTGGGCAAGACATTTTACCGGATGACAGCCTTCTTTAATATTGTTCCGTTAGATAGATATCCTCGAGCTATTGCATAGAGATAACTAACCCCCTCACTCCACCCTAAAATCAACTACAATGACTAATCTTGGGATGATATGCTTGCACCATGGTACATGTTCTTCATCAATTTCATTCATAAATATAAAGTTTTAAACAAATTACTTGATATCTAAATAGCATTCACAATTCATAATTTCCTATAGTTAGTGTTCCTTTATTGCACATTTTGATATTTAGATGATTTCTGTTGGATCTATAATAACAGTGAAGTGTTTGCTGAATGTTTTATTTCAACAAGGGTTTATAGCTTAGGTTTCTGGCTGAATTTTCCCAAATAAATGACTTATAGATTATTGTTTTCAAAATATTAAAACAATTTCTTCTTTAAGTCATCTTAGTAGTCATAAAAAAATTCTTTGATCATTGACGATAAACTGTTGTTGATGTTTCATTTTTTAAAACAACATGGAAAGAATAGCAGAGTAGCAGACACATAACATGTACATGACAGTATATCTCAAGGGGACCTAATCCATTGTCAAATGGAAATTCCTGGATTATTTATGAAGGAAAATCTCCAAAATAAAATTTATAATAGCATACATTGTATTGTTTATGTTTACAGCAAGTGTTGGTCAAAGATTTTAGCTTACTTTGAAATAATTGTTCATGTTAAATGCCAAACTATTAAGATGCTGTAGAAGAGACTCATTTAAAATTCTTTCCAACCATGAAATTCCTCCCCATAGACTTGATATGATATACAGACATTTAATGTCTAATGTATATAAATATCTTTTCGCTGAGAAGGGTGTCTGGAGTTGTGTGAAGTTGTTCGTTACCAAGCCAACAGTGACGTAGGCCAATTCTAACTATTGATTTTGAAAGTGTATAGTGTGAGGAAGAAGAAACAGATAGGCAGTTTGGGAATATGTCTTTTTTTCCCCCAAAAGTGAAAATCTAGTGTTATCTAATAATGTTTTGGTAACAGTTTGGTTTAACACAGTACTCGTTAGAGACTTGGCGGGGCTGCGATAGCTGATAATCATTATAGAGCATCAGCATAAATAACCTCGGGTAAAGATCTTAGATGCATGGTTCGATGTTCCCTACCCATAGTGTTTTGTATTTCTCAGTAAGCTGGGAAATGATGTGGTCTGTGCTGATAAGGTTTGTGTCCTTGGGCAAAGAGAATTAACCCTAATTGCTCTGGATGGTATGCAACAGGTCTCTCATATGTTGTTCAATCAGGTAGCCACCAGCTACTTCAAGGAGCCTCTTGGCTGTCGTTAGTGCATTCTGTCAATTAACTTGGCAACCAAAGTTGAAGCACAATCCATTACAGAAATGCTCTTATTCTGGTTAACTGTTAAATTTAATGACACTTAACCTGGCATATTGATTAAAATTGATGAGGACAAGTGTTGTATACATTTTTAAACAACACCTGAATTAACTTTCAATTTGTATTTTTTTTTTTCCAATATGTTTTTGTATGTAAATTCTTATGTTTATTTGAAAAACAAATATGCTACCCTCGCTTTTTTTTTTTTTGTAATGAAGCTGCTAGACAGTGTTATTGACCGTTAAAGTGAACCTTATTGGAAAAGGGTCCACAAACTGAAGTATACATTACACACACAACAGAATGATTAATCTTGATCTCAGACTAATGAAGTTTACAAATGAAATGTGTTTTTTTCATAGAAGCACCTTGCTCGGTATATGTATGTGGTATGTGTATAAAAATGTATACAAGTGTATAGCCCCAAGCATCTTGAACCTAGAACCTTAGTGCAAAAGATGAACTTGCGTGAGAAATCATTGTAAATACATTTTCAAAAAATATGTAACCTAAAGCAAGAATTACTATTTGGCCTGAAAGGTAATTAGATTAGCTTAAAATGGCAACTTTTAGAGCATTTCCAATTTCTTAATGTAATCAGCTTTGGTTGACAATACTACTGGCCTGTATGTTGATGTTAATGAAACACGACATCTCCACTGAAGTGATATAGCCCCGGGGTTCGATCTGACATTCTGTATACGCAGGGAATCAGTCAATTAGCTGTATGAAGCATTGATTATATAATACTCAACTTGCTGCACATTAAATTACTACAAGGTGTGTGTATCAGTAAGACGCTGACACTCGACACAGAGATGTTCGTGTAGAGTTCTCTGAGGCTTCTGTACTTGTGGTGGGATTTTAGTTAATACAGTGAAATCAAAAATGCCTTCTGAGGTAAGATGCATAACAATGTTGAATAATTTCAATTCTAATTTGTGGTAGGTTTGAAAATATCTTAGAAAAAAAGGAAATTGTACAAAATTGGATATTTTTGAGCTGCAGCATTGAGTTTCACCAACGGGATATATCTCGTTTATCACTGCCGTGAATACTTTTTTTCACTGAAAGTGCTGGCAAAATAATAGAAAGCATATTTACATCAAGTGCTGATGTACTTCATATTCCAAGTTTTTTTTCAGCCATTGGACATTAAGATACCAATGTTATCATCAGTCATTATAATTTTTTTATATTGATTGTGTTTTTCCAGGCAGCTGATTCTAAGAGGGAGGAGTTTAGGAAATATCTAGAGAAAGCAGGTGTTTTGGATGCTTTAACGAAAGGTAAGATTAATGTGATCAATTACACATATTCAGATGGTCGGCAGGTGATATACATGATACACCTGTAGATCTATCTAAAGAGACCCAAGATTTGTATGTTGTGACTAATTGCAATGATATTGCTTGACATACCTGCTTTGATTGAACAGTTCTCTCTGTAGTTTTAAACAATGTGTTTATGGATATTCTTTCTTTGATAAAGTGTAGCAAAAATACATGGTTTTGATAGTACAGAGCTAGTATTAAAATCAGAAATTCATTTCCATGATTTCACAGGTAATGTTCATGTTCATCACACCAGCATTCAAAAGTTAAATCAACAAATTTTTAGTACAGATTGAATTCTCGTGCATTGATTTTCACTTGAAAACCCATGAAATTGAAGTTTGAGGAAAATGTTGGATTTTAATGTAGAAACTTCCTGTTACTGTTCAGTTTCGTTATCAGTGAGCATGACACAAATTAAAACTTGTAGGTATAACTTTTAGCTACCTGGCATATAAAAACACTTGAAAGGGTTTGAATTTACAAACCTACAAGGTGATTTGTTAATAGCATGTAAAATAAATACTAGAAAAAGTGTATTGTTGTATTGAAGTACGATCAATAGCTGATTGTTAACCGGAAAGTTTGACACTATTTCCAGTAGTAAATCAAGACTAGCTTGAATTTCTCATAAAACACCTGTGCATTCTTAACAAATACAGGAAATTTGTGATGTATAAGGAAGTAATTCATAGATACAATGAGTCATGGTTATAAAAGTATGGTCCTGGGTAATATATACAATCCAGACATATTATTACCATTTACTTCAGACTTATCCCACATTCATTATTTTCTTCAACCTTACCATTTAACTTTCAGCTGGTGTGATATCTTAAAATAAAAATGTCAAGTAAGAAATTGTCCTAAGTAATTTCTATAAATGTACAATTTAAATAGCATAATTGTTTTGCACTCTGTGGTAGTACATTTGTATATATTTCATACACATTTATAAATCTCTCATTTACTTCATAATGTAACGTGAAGATGGTAGTTTATAATGCTAATGGTGAATATCCATAAATCAAAATGAAATATATGTAACTGCATGAAAAAATACAATGTACTTATAGTATAAGACGTAAAGCTCGTATTTTACAGATGTTTTTGTGTGCAAACTACATGCATACAGGTATTTTGCCAGGCATTCTCATGAAATGCATTTTAATTTTGTGAAGCTAAGTATGAATATTTTATAGGAATCAGAAAATGTTTTTTTATCACATGTTGATAATTTCCCTTATTTTATTTTCAGTGTTAGTAGGCCTGTATGAAGAACCAGAAAAGCCAAACAATGCTCTAGAGTATCCTTTTACCGATTATCCCACTTGATGCACACAAGTCGTAGATGATGAACAATGTTCATTATCTACAAACAGGTCCCTGTAAATTCAGTATCTTAACGTTGATTAATATTAAAAACTATTTTCTGTATTGTTAACATTTCGCCCATCCCCTGACTCTTGTTTCCAGGATCCATCATGGAGTATAGCTATGTGTGTGTCCAGACTGGAGAATAAAAGTGTCTGTCATCAGTCACAGTCAGAATTGTCTGTATGGGTGTTCAAAACATGTCAGTGTTTATATATATACAAGAGCTGGATATTTTTGTTACCAAGACACTTTATACACAGTATACCGTAACATTTGCTAAAGGCTCTTTCTTGACTTTTATGATGAGAACTTTTCTTAAGTATTAAGTAAAAGCTGTTTGAATACTTAAACAACCAAATTAGTGCACTCTGTGTTTAAGTATTCAACACAGATGTAGTGTTTGAAACATTTACTGTTAGAGGGAAAACATACAAGTTTTCATTACTTTTTGTTATATTCCTTCATAAGAAATCTTCTAAATAGTGTACTAGGTATATTGTTTGATAGTTAAATGTAATTAAACCCCCTACGTATGTAAGGTTGGAGGGAAAGAGGAGGGTGTTACCCATATAACATCGCTTGCTTGTGCATGTGTACAAGATATCTCATAAACCCATGGACTGATTTCAGTATGATTTACACTATACAAGATTTTGATGGTCGTTAAAGATGATCAGAGTTAAAGGTCAAAGGTCACTGGTCACTGTTGACCAATTTTGGAATGCAATGCTTATGTGTGTGATATCTCATGAACTCCTTATAGATTTAGATCCTAAGAAGATGTGAGGGTGTGGATATATCTATGTGAGCACCAGCTTACTTTTTTTTTTATTTGCAGTATCGGGTAATGGACTAATTCGACCAAGCATCTTTTAAGTTTAAGTAATTTACAAATAATTCAGATCAAGTGTTTTCTAAAATCTATCAACATCAAATGCTTGCATGTTTCCTTAGCATTAGTATTATTTTTTGTTTTCACTTAATTGCTCACTATTTCCTGGTAGACCAATCAGTAACCTGCTTGCATTGATGAAATGCATCAATCTTGTTGCAGAATAAGCAATGTCATGTTGAATCTTGAACAGGACTGACGTGGATGCTATCTGAGTGTCACAATATGACTTAGCTATTACACGATCACAAATCCTGGTCAAAGTTTAGGAGGACAATTTGCAATCTTCCTTTACTGTCAAAATAAAGCTTTTAAACAAGATTGATGTACTTTGCTGTAATAGTAAAGTCAAGATATTGGTAATATCATGATGTGCATATGTGTTATAAGATGTAGACGGCAAGTTTTTCTTAACTACATACCAGCTTCCTGAAACAGCACCTAGGTGCCTCTGGACCAGAGACAGCGGATGTTGAGGCTCTGAAACAGGAAGTGACAGAGTTGAGGCAAAAAGTGGAACAGTTGTCGGAGGAAAATACAGATCTAAAGGCCAAGGTTGGCAACGTACTGTGACTTTTTACTAACTTAACTAACTGTTGTCTTGTGGTGGTGATAAGATAAAAAGTAACCTTTAAATTTCTCCATTTCTGTCTCATTCTTCTTGCAGGGATGATTATTTCAGTGAAGCCACAATTTTAGCTGAAAACTCTATTCAATATTTTGTGAAATTTTGTAAGAAATGAATGGAAGAAATATCAACATCTTGATCTCATGGTTGTGAACTTTGTTGATATTATTGTATTGCGAGAGAACCAAGGTCCTGGTTGTTAACACTCCTTAGTTGAATGTGGAAGGAATTTCTGATCGATGCCTATTGGTAAATCACTTACACTCAGTTCCATTGAGACAGACAGACATCACAAACAAAAAACTGGAACATCAACATTTCGATTGTGCAGTTTATTGTGTTGTTAACTGTCATCAATTGAACTCGAGTGAATACCCATGTGTCCATCAAAGATTCTAATACTGAGTGATAGCAGCCAGGATCTTGGTTCTCTCAACCCATTGGGTATTTTCAATCATGATTTATATTTCGATAAATGAACAAAAAATACTCAAAGGTACTTGGAATACATTTTTTTTAATTAAGAAAGGCTGATAATCAAGTAATGTTTTAATTTCCGTTCTTTATAATTTTGCTCATCACTATTTTCATTCACTTTGCTCATTTCTTAACATACCATCAAAGGTAATATTTATACCACTCATGTCATGTACTTATCTGCCTTTCAATGTGACATGTATGTCGCAGAACTCTTTTTATTTTACAATGGTGCTGCAATTACTTTTTGCGAAATAGCCTACATCTTTCTCTATTAATCATTATTCTTACTAGTACTTCCTTACCAGACAAACCAGAACAGTCTAGTTTAGCTGTTGTTCATCAGTCTGCATGTCTCAGTTTCGTGTGAAGGTAACGCTGTCTTAAGGTGACATTCCACAACAACAAAACTTTGTAGAAATGATTTTAATGAAGTGAGGATGTGCATATCAGGCTTTTGTTGCAGAGTTATGCCCCTTTTTTTCGCTGAAGAGCTACACTTTGGTGTGAATGCAACCACTGCTACTAGTCCATTGAAAGGCTGAAAGGATGTTTAAGCTGTTCAATAAATAAACTAATGCTAAAGTAGATGTTGCAAAAAATTGAAATTTGTAGAAATAATTATATGTTGATGTTAAGATATGCACATCTTTATTTAGTTGTGATGCATTTTTCTGGAAGTTCGTTAAGGTTTGATTTTCTGGAAGTTAATACTGATGTGTTTTCTATGTATATTACATAACAATTAAACTTGGAGAATATGATAATAGTGAATTGAAAATGTACATAGTATAATTTAGTTTTCATAATATTTATATTCATGCGTTGATGTGAGTTAGGTCTCTTTTTACCTTATTTATGATATCAGATTGTTATAAAAAGTAGTGGTTAGTGTATTGTTAAAGTAATACTTTCCAAAATAATTCTTATATTAGGCATAATTTTTGATGATTAAGAACTTCATATGAGTGCTGAAATTTGTGACAAAGTTGGTTTAGTACAGTATATTGAAACACTTTTGCATGTTTATGAACCAGATAGATTGTTATAGGAAGTTTACAATTTCTGAGTGAGTGACAGTCCCAATGACCCTTCGTTTGAGAGGCTGTTTCCTATAGCCTTTCCTGTTATTATTATGCATGAACAGCTATTGTATCACAACGCTGACAAGAACATGCACATGTGTGTATGTATTTGTGACATTTATAACAAAGGTGTTTCTTTTGTTGCTTGTTGATGGATGTTAACCTGTTGGAATTTGACAGTTACTGTTTTAGGTGATAACTACAATATATTTCTGATATTAATTAATATATTAATGTTAATATTGATTACAATTAATATTAATATAAAGTTAGGTCTGTACTCAAAACTCAACTCAGACTCAGTATTGTATAGTAATCATACTGTATGATGTACTAATATTTTCACTCTGCTCTCTCCTTATAGAAACTTGAAAAAAACAAAAACAAAAAACAAAAAAACAAAAAAACAAAAACATAACTTGTCCACTTTTCTTTCCTTACAAAACTTTACTGGCTTTGATAAAGTTAAATAACATCAGGTTTTAATTAACAATTGAAATACATGTACAACTTATAATTACTTACCTACATATAAAGATTGAACATTTAGGTATTCCACATATTCACCAAACAACGGGAAAAATATATATTTCTTTCATCATCCAATTTGTTATTGATTTGAAACAAGTTTTACAACCAAATCAATGATAGCCAATTTTACATGGCAAGAAAATGTTTTCTGTGGTTGAGAGAGGCCGTAAATTCAACTCCGAACTATTTGTTGTGATTTTCAATAGTGTTGACACAAGTAACTGATAATACATATACCTGTAACCAAATTGTTTTATATATTGTCACATCTGCAGTTTGTATTATTGAAATAAAGTTCAATTGTACAACTGGCAGAATCATAATCAGACTATAGTTAAAATTTTAACTTAACTTTTAAAAAAAAAGGAAAAAGGAAGATTTTCAAGACAGATACTTCATGCTTTTAGTCCAAGACCATCAACCAAACTTAACCAGTTATTTTTTGTTTTTACAGCTACAACAGTATGAACCTCCGACAGATGAACAAGCCCCGGATAGTTAGATATTTCTCCCATGCTGCCCATCCATCTACTGTCATGTCTTCACTACATTGTACATTTAGGACAAGTGCTGTATAGAACGTCGCATCTCACTGATTAGGACAGAGATCATTCATGTGTGTCTGGTGATGGCGTTACAGAACATGGAGCAAGGTGTTTTGTCAGATCAGCTTGCAAGAAAATTGTCAGATGGAGTTCTGTTTTACAATGAAAACTTGGGGAATGAATTATAGCTAAAAATATGCACTAGTATTTTTATGTAGGGCCTCCATTGTCAGACATGCCTTTGTCCATTGTAGTTAGTGTATATGTAAAACTATGGATCCAAAAATGTCTTTCCCTGGTCAATGTGAATTTTGCTTTGCATCAACCAGCATTTTTTTTTTTTTTTTTTTTTGTGAAATACCCAAGTTTTACTTCAGACACAAAACATGTTTCTTCTCACTGTTGCTTTGAAAATATACCTTGCAAGTCACAAACCTAAGGAAGACAATAAGACAATAATTCATGACAGTGATATGAGAAAGTTATTTTGTTCTCAGTTTTTACTACTTAAGAGTATTGATACTTAAAATGTGATAGCATATAGTCATTCTGGCAACAAATCTTGTGCTTGTCAGTTTTATGAAGGACAAATTATTTGTAGGAAGATTACAAATGTGAAAGTTTTTTTTTCAACAACTGACAAGTATAAAACAAGTGAATTTCTGGTCACAATGACTGGCGTCCTCCATATACAAACAGTAACTTCTTAGAAATATACTCGGTTACACTGTACTGTTAGAATAAAAGAGTTATTTCCCTTGTCTGTTGGTAAGGCAGGTTAACAATTTCTGATCTCTCAAAAGACCACAACGTGCACATTCCAGTAATTGGCAGGTCGATACTGAAGTTACACCTACATGTTATTTCCATTCACAGTTGTCAAACACAAAAAAAGGAGAAATAAAAATAGTTCAAAATCTAAATGTACATGTATATTATATGTACAAATGTATATTATTTTATGTAAGGTTAAAACATGATTGTAATTTAATTTTTTGTCTTCTTAGGAAGTTTTATTTCCAATAAATATCATAATTACTTTACATGATGTTTTTGTTATTTTTATGTGAAATATTTGTGAATCAGATTCTACATAACTTTTGTGATTTTGCTGAATCATATGAAATATTGTATCAGGATAAGATATAGAATGAATAACATGCAGACAGAGGTCAGAAAAGCAAATAGCTGATATAACAGTTTTTTTTTTGTTTATTCTGTATCAACTTATAAGCTAAAGCAGAGATTCTTTAAGTCTGTGTCCAGGAGGAGCAGAAATAGTTGTTGTGTACCAGTCATTTTAAAATGGTGGTCAACTCTGCAAGTTTCATGAACATTCCTTCAGGGGCATGTCTTATGTTCTGTCTCCTTAAAATGCCAAATATGTTCTTCGGAACGGTAGAGATGATTTCTGGCATAACAATGTAGGTCATACGACCTCCCCTTTACATGTATACAGAAGATAAAGAATAACACATCATTTTAGTTCTTCTCAGTAGGATACATATTGTGAAGACCATGTATGCCAGTATTAACACCAAATGTCAAAATAAACCGTTTGTATGTTATTGCTAAACAAAATTCCATTTAAATTGTGTAAGTCATACCAAATTCCTTGTAGTGAATTGAGCTCTGTTTCTGGCAGTGTTAATATGTTGTGCTGTTTATTGAAAAACTTTGGTTTTCTTTTTTGGCTCGTCTGATCATATATCCCAGTATATTGAGAGTTATTGTCCTTCGTTCACTGTTGGGTCACATATGATGCTGTGCCAACAACAAATTTTGGTTTTCAGAAACATGGTAGATCAAATGCTTTAGTCATAATTAAACAAAACAAACCATATTCTCTTCTGATGTTGTAACTTCTTGTAAAATGGTGGAAAAGACGATGACTCCTGATGTAAATTCAATTTCCACTATTTATTTTTTGCAACTTTATCTTATCCCCTTAAATAATATACAAACCAAACCCTTTAATAAACATTAAAACTACTTAAATTGATAAAGTCTTTTCCCCACTGTGGATACATGTACACTAGTGGGGTGTGCAAGTACAACAAAAGTACCATAGTCATCGTCAATGAGCTTTTATCAAGCATCTCTGTAGAATAAATTAATAAAATCCTGTTTAAAGTATTCTAAGCAACCACAGCTAAGATGATGAACTGAATGTGATCTAGTGTAGAACACTAGGCAACAGAATAAACAAATAACACACAATATACATTCAAATATAATTTTTATTAATTTTTTTTCTCGTATAAAATCTATATGTTTATTTCAGTCTTAGCATTTTGCTAATTTGTATAACTTAACAAATGTATACAGTACGAAGCTCAAATGATATAAGGGGAGGTAATTTAACAGTTCTACAGTCCATTACTACCGAATCCGAGTGGTAAAACTTATGCCAGGGGTAAAACAGCCTACAATACCTCTAGGGTACAAAGGTGTTTACTCATTCAGAAATGTAGTTTAGGATGCAGAGTAGTCACAAGTGGAAATATAGAGGCCACCAGTAACATAAAAATATAGAGAGGCTAACACGATAAAGTACAACCATACCACAACCCAAGATTAGATATACAAGCTTCAGTTTTAATGGAGGAGTTCCTTTAGCATGACATATAATCTTATTTCCCTTTAAAGAACTGAAAATCTGTTCTTATAGGTATACCATGTCACAGTGTTTATACTTTGTCATAGAGATTATATAATGTGTTCGAAATACATTTTGTTTTGAAATATTTTTCAAACATTATATGCAAAAGTATACATTACACATATCTATGAAGTTTAAATGCATAAATATTGATTATTACATATAACTTACAGTGGCTAGCATCCATAATTACTTGTTGAAATTGGTAAATTGTTAGAGTGAGTTATCTGCTGTACACTATTGGTATAAATATTAAATAGTAATTATCAATTAAGAAATTCTATACTGTTTACAATTTTAATGGAATGTTCTTCCCGTAGTTAAAGCTAGCTCAATAAGATAAACTTTTGACCAGGGTGGATTAGCAACTTAGAATGGTCAAGCTATCCATCTATGAATTCAATGGTCAGTTTAGTGACAAATTTAATAAATTCTTCCTATTATTCCAACCACGAAAATATCAGTGCCCCTAAAAAGTTCAAACTTGAAGTATATACACTTTACATTTCTGGTACATGTATATGTGAGTATTTATGTTACAATTCCTGAATAAAGAGTTGGTTACAGAATGTTTAGAGTATTTTTCAGTACTACTTTTTAAAGACATGAAATATCAGTACATGATATATATACTAATGTTGACCAGGAATAGCACGGATACTATGCTAATTCTTTTCAGTAAGCAGCGGGGGCGGTTGTGGCTTTGACATGGGAAGATGTCTGCCAAGGACGTCGGAAAGGATTAGAAAATCTTGACAGTATCAATGCTTTAACAAAATGTTGTGTTGGTAATTAACCAACTTCTACAAGTAATTGTCCGTCATACTTTTGTTTAATTCAGAGATTTTCAAGAATAGATTGTACACATGCTTATACTGATCCTGACAGTACATAAACTTACACCATTAACATAGCACCATAAAGTTATTCTGTAACATATCAGTCAACAAAAATCTTCATTTCCATTTTATGTTAATTTGTGACTAAAATAGTTTAATTTCATCCAGTAACTGATATATACATTCTAAGGGAGATCACTCCAGAACGACAGGATACCTAACGGCTGTCTACATTAACAAAAGCTTGGTTATACAGTATATAACAAGCTAAAAACAGATGAAAGTGGACTTCACAGAAAATAAAATGTATGGAAAACTTTGAAATATCAACTGGAAAATGCATTTGGTCTACATAGTTGGGGAGTGACTCTGTATAAGAATCAACTGTGAATGATGATGATTTATGATGGGAGGTCTGTACAACCAATGGCTATCTTTATACATAGAATCTTACACTCCAGACTATGTACAGTCAAACAAACACTCATCACTTCACCCTCACATCATACCTAGGCCCGGGATACATTAAACCTTTTATTGTAATCCTCCTGCACCCTCGAATTAGAATGAGTCTCGTATATCAAACACACCTGATATAAATTATGGAAGATTTGCATTTTTTCCTTATAACTATGTACATATGTTTATCGATAAACTCACACGGACGACTTTGATTGGATTATGACAAAACCAGAGACTTAACCTATAATCCTGTAACATCACAAGTCACAGATTGAAATCTGGAGATAAAGCGCAATGTTTTCTAAACCTGAATTCACAGGGCTCCGAAACACCAGCAAACGACTCTGCTTAATGTAGATTGTATTACCACTTTGTATCTCCTGACCTCAACAAATATATAATCATATCCCCAATTTATTTGGCATTTCCAACAAATTCTTGTACTATACATGATGTAATTATTGGAAGATTACATGGCACATTGTGTAAATATCAATACTTCTTCGCATTTGCCCTGTGATTCTAATTATTCATCCATGGGGAGTAACTCTGGAAAGTGAATATTTCAGTAGATTCTCTGCTTCATATGGTTACCATAGTAACACATTTCTATCATGAAATTAAAAAGATGCAAGTTTGGCAGTGTTTAAACAAATAAAAATAGGTATGTTTGTACACATACGCACACATTCATGTTTTATGTAGGTATCACAACATAGTGAATATGACAGAACAGAGCTTTCAATAAAACTCTCCAGACACAAGTGGCATCACAGAAGGCAATCACTATCACAAACATGGAGTCCATTTCCTACTATCTCATTAAACTAGCCTACATTTCTTTGGTATCCGAAATATTTGGCTGGATCTGACTTGCTTATCCTGTCCTCTCTGTTCAAAAAAGATAAATTCTAAAAAAAAGTCAAAATATTCTCATTCAACAATTTAACACAAACAACTTCTGAGGTCTTGAATATTACAACACTTTTTGACCTTGTTTTTATGTTTTGTGTCCAGCAGAGAAAACGTGTTTGTACATAATGAGGACAAAGAGATGGTGGGTGATAACAGCTTCCATACACATACACATTGACCCAAATGTTGACGGTATGTCCATGAAGTGGCAGGCATGATCTCAGTCTCGGCTAGAATGAAAACATTTTCACGTGATGAGGGACCAACATACACGAGATGACATGTCTTCAGAGTCATTTATGTGTTCTGATGGAATATGATTTCTCAAGACAGGTGTCTTTGTGACCAGAGTGACACCTGTCTCCTCAACACAGGTGAACACTGATTTGAGATCATTGATGTGCTACAATGGTAATGACCCTCTAACTGGTCTGGGGTTGTGCAGCACCTGTTTCTCTGGCCTCGGCTTCTGCGGTCTGTTCATCGGTCATCACAGTGACCAAACGTCCGACCTCTTTGCCCACCTCACCAGCCATGTGAAACAAGTTTCCCACCTTGTTGGGGCCTGGAAAGAACAACCAAAGTCACACACTAATGTTATATAAAACACTTGATAATTATGAAACTTCCTAAACAACACATTTTACAACGCACCAACAATAAAAAGACGAACATTTCACTTATAAATATGGAACAAGATAAAAGTACAAGTTTCTGAAAACAAGATGATTCTGAATACAGCAAGAATTCAGAAAAGCAAGTGTTATCATTAAGTATTTGGAACTCAATAAATTACCTTTAATGGATACTGAGAAGAGAGGAAGAAACAAAACTCAATGAGATAGAGAGAGAAGAAAAGAAGAAACCAAACTCAATGAGATAGAGAAAAGAAGAAACAAAACTCAATGAGATAGAGAGAGAAGAAAAGAAGAAACAAAACTCAATGAGATAGAGAGAGAAGAAAAGAAGAAACAAAACTCAATGAGATAGAGAGAGAAGAAAAGAAGAAACAGAACTCAATGAGATAGAGAAGAAAAGAAGAAACAAAACTCAAAGAGATAGAGAGAGAAGAAAAGAAGAAACAAAACTCAATGAGAGAGAGAGAAGAAAAGAAGAAACAAAACTCAATGAGATAGAGAGAGAAGAAAAGAAGAAACAAAACTCAATGAGATAGAGAGAGAAGAAAAGAAGAAACAAAACTCAATGAGATAGAGAAAAAAAAAGAAGAAACAAAACTCAATGAGATAGAGAGAGAAGAAAAGAAGAAACAAAACTCAATGAGATAGAGAAAAGAAGAAACAAAACTCAATGAGATAGAGAGAGAAGAAAAGAAGAAACAAAACTCAATGAGATAGAGAGAGAAGAAAAGAAGAAACAAAACTCAATGAGATAGAGAGAGAAGAAAAGAAGAAACAGAACTCAATGAGATAGAGAAGAAAAGAAGAAACAAAACTCAAAGAGATGAGAGAGAAGAAAAGAAGAAACAAAACTCAATGAGATAGAGAGAGAAGAAAAGAAGAAACAAAACTCAATGAGATAGAGAGAGAAGAAAAGAAGAAACAAAACTCAATGAGATAGAGAGAGAAGAAAAGAAGAAACAAAACTCAATGAGATAGAGAGAGAAGAAAAGAAGAAGAAACAAAACTCAATGAGATAGAGAGAGAAAAAAAGAAGAAACAAAACTCAATGAGATAGAGAGAGAAGAAAAGAAGAAACAAAACTCAATGAGATAGAGAGAGAAGAAAAGAAGAAACAAAACTCAATGAGATAGAGAGAGAAGAAAAGAAGAAACAAATCAAAAAATGAAATAGAGAAGAGAGGAAGAAACAGAACTCAATGAGAAAGAGAGAGAAGAAGACAAAAAGAAGCAAAACTTAATGAGACAAAAGAAGAAGAAACAAAACTCAATTAGATAGAGAGAGAAGAGGAGAGGAAGAAACAGAACTCAATTAGATAGAGAGAGAAGAAGAAACAGAATTAAAAGAGATAGAGAAAGAAGAAGCGAGGAAGACATAGACTTCAATGAGACAGAAACAGAAGAAGACAGGAATAAATAAAACTTATGAGATAGAGAGAAGAAGACAGAAAGAAGCAAAACTTAATGAGACAGATATAAAGAGAGAGAAGAAGAGAGGACGAAACAGAACTCAATGTGACTTAGAAGAAGAAAGGAAGAGAGAGAACTCAATGAGATAGAGAGAAGAAGAGAGGAAGAAACAGAACTCAGTGATATAGTCATTGGCATTTGTACCTCTGGATTTGTCCTCTGTTATACTGCCATTGGGTTCTGATATGATTTCACTGATGTCCCCAACTTCATCTTTACTAGGTGTTTCTGTAAACAACAATATGAAAACTGAGAACTGAGGAATCAATGGGTATGTCAAGGGACTATCACACTATTTAACACTAACTATGACTGGTGATATGATCATGATGATATGACACAATAAATACAATGAATTCCCCAGTGCTGCCACAAGTAAATACATGATGAAAAGTCAGCTGCCATGGGAGATGGTCTGACCTGTTGCAAGTGGCTCTGTGGCTTTTTAGGCAAGACCGTGATTGATACTGCTATAACAGGTGGTATTTCTCAAGGGTAACTGCTAGCTAAGGAGATGTGGAAACAAGGGTATGTATGTACTGACCTGTTGTATGACTGTGACCATTCATCTGAGGGGTGGACTCCAGCTGAGGGCTGAACCTGTACCGAGGGGGTGGGGGCTGCTGAATGTCAGATTCTGTGGAGGAGGGGGTGGTAGGCATGGATGAACCTACACTTTGCTCCTGTGTCGGCTGAAAAGGTGAGAATGAAATTAACACCAGTATTATTATACATTCCTTTGATCATTTAAATTGTCATATACATATCTGGGAAAATATTGCACACTGAAACAATTTCCAAATTCTGTACTTGATACTGTTGAGTGAGACAGCATTTCATTAACTATATAATGTTCATCTAACCTTCATTTTATGAACAATTACAACTAATGTGAATCATTCTCTTAACATTCAAGCTGTAGAAACATGAATATCAGTAAAATTAGAGTAAAAGTAACTTTCACAATTAAAACTTCATCATACAAGACATGCTTGATGAAGTTCTCACCATCACTGAACGGTGTCTATGTAAATTCAACCACCATGTTAACTACAGCCACAAGTTCATTCTGTAGAAAACTGGAGACATCTACATACCAACTAATGAAGGAATCAATGTTAGAATATCTGTAGGACCATAACATTTGCTAGTAATCTATGAATGAGCCTGACTCACCTGGTCCAGGAGCTGTTTGAGGCGTGTCAATTGGGCCTCCAGTTGCTGGTTGTGATCCTCTAGAATCTTCATACGTGACTCCAGACGACCTTTGTGTTGACGAAGTAACTTGGCTTCAGCAATCATTTCAGCATCCATGTCAACATTGCTGTTATTGTCATCCTCCACTTCCTCTAGTCCATTCCCATTTTCTCGCAGTTCATTGGCTTGTTTCAGCCGGTCATACTCTTGCTGTAGTGTCCTGCAAATCAAGATCAATAAAATGTTTGCATCAAAGTAGGTGTCAATATAATGTTTGCACCAAAGCCATGGTCAATGTTATTTGTGTACCAAAGTCACTATCATGGAAATGGTTAAATGAAAGTCATGGTCAACGTAATGTTTACACCAAAATCAATGTCAAAGAAATGTTTGTTCCCATTAAGATCAGTATACCAAACTCATCATGATGAACAAAATTGAATAGAAAAATGCTATTGAAAAGTTTATCAGTTATAGAGATATATGACAATAAATTTGCACTGAAGTAATTATATAAGATCTGGTAACATCATTTTACCTGATTAGATAGAAGCTCAGGAAAAAAATTAATTGATACAAACCAGATATATCTTGCAATTTTTACTGGTAACTTTCTGCCCTTGTCACAAAACAAGGTAAATGTAAACAACAGAAAACTAGACACCCTGAACACTCCATGACAAACAATTTCCCAAAAAATCAATAATCTTGACTCTCTTTACCAAGACCTGTCTGCAAGCCTTGACACACATGGGGTTAAGAGGTAGTAAGGTCACACTTACTTGTTTTCCTCCTCGAGATCCTTGATCATGGCCTCCAGTTCCGACTTCTGGTCCGAATCGACTGCCATCATGATCTGCATTGGACTCTTCAGCTACAACGGTACAAGGATGACAGTTGCTTACCTCATACACACACGACCAGTGCTTACATCATTTGTGACTCACGTATTAGTCAGTACTGCACAATATAAAATCAATCGTTAAATATCTATGTAAATGAAAACGTGCTTTTAACACTCTATATTGCCCAATCTTTGTATTTCTGTGTAGACATGTACATGCTATTGATTTGTTCCTCTCAGTTGACTCGGATATGCAGAAATGCTTCTTGATTTTTTTTGTCATTCAGCCAAAGTTGAGAAACGCTATCAATCTTGCATGAATGATTTTACGGAGATCCAGGTGAAGCATGCATCACACGTACATACAATGTTGTTCTGAACTCCAACAAAAAGTAGATAAATCCAGGTCTGAGACCAGCATTATCTGATCGTCTTAATGACCTAATGCTATAGCACTGACGATCCATTAAACACATACATACCGTATGGGAAGTGTTTCCATTCAGACTTTGGCAGTACTGGGCAATCAAATTATGTTCATCATCACTGCAAAAGAGAGATAATTTAATAAAAAAATAATCTGATAAAACAAAACCCAAAACAAACAAACAAACAAACAAACAAACAAACAAACTTACTTTTATTGGATAACATTAACTGTTCTAAAACAATGTTATCTTTTCAAATTGATACTAAGTAAAACTATACACAGAATGGTATCTTGTAACCCAGGGATGGCTTGGGTACCAAATGTGTTAAGTACTGAAAGCGAGTTGATGTGATGCCTCCAATTGAAGATCAGACAGTCTAGTAAATCTTGTCTACAATGATTTACCCTAATGCTTCTATATATAGAATATAACAAGGTGAATCGCCAGCCAATCGGCACAAAACAATTCCCCTCCCAAAACAATTACAACACGTTCAAGTCAGTTGGGAAGCAGACATGATGATTCCATACTCAACTAATCTAACTGCTGAATGGCCAGGAATCTAATGTGCAGACTACTGCATTGTTATTACCAATAACATGTGCTCGCTTATTCTGATTTGGATCAAATTGTTTCAAAACAGAAAAAGAAAAATTAAGATCAATATCTCTGGCATCTTCATGGCGACACATTCAAATAAACAGCGATCTTAATAAAATCTTAAGGAACAAACTGCTTTAGCAGTAAACAGAAATTGCATGCCGCTTCTAAAAATTTGCATTTTAAAGTCGTTTGGGAAGAGAAAAACACATACAAATACCTATAATCTGAAAAACTTAAACAAAAACCCGCAATCTGAATCGGAGAGTGAAATAAGATATTGCAGTGAAAGCAACAATAAAAATATGTCACTGCTCCCATGAGACACTTCCTGCCTGCGTAGTTCAAGTGATTATTTCAGTGTTCACAAATGGTTGTGATTTCCAAAGTAATTATGCTAAAGTCGACTAGACATAAAAGCTCTGTGTTTAGTGATCTTTTATTTATGCTGGTAAGCCTCTAGGAAATCCATATGTTTTAAAAGAAATGCTGTACACACTGGAAGTTGTACTTGATGAAAAAGAAAAGACAATAGCTGGTGTATCAGGCACATATATATATATATATATATATACTTACGAGTCGGGTGTGGAGGACGCCTGTCTTTGTTCCACTTCTGCCAACCTACAACAATTCATATACATCATCATCTTTTACATTAAAACAATATAATTTTTTATCCTTTAGCACTACTTAAAACTGATTTCAGTTCCTGCGTTGTTCTACAGCCCGTGGTATACGACACACTGTGTGCCCACGGCGACTTAGTTCTACCAGGTAACCTAGTGCACTATTTGACACAGTCTTCTTGGTCAGGGACAGTATTACGTGTAGTAGTAGTATCATGACTGCTGGTACGAAAACTGGGTAATAAAGACACCATTACATGCTTGTCTGAGCGCTAGAAACTGCACTAGATACCGAATGATGTCATTGGCTGATACTGAACATGAAGTAAGATATCACTGCGACTGAAGAAGGAATGATGTCACTGGTGATACTATTTTCATGATGATGATACATCTTTCTGTTTATAAAACACAATCAATATTTAGGTGAAGCTCATCTGAGGAAAGAAGATGACATGAAGGTTTAATTATATTATTTCCAGGATAAAAGAGTTCGAATTGTAAGAGTTATTGATTATCAGGACTAATGCTCCCTCCAGTTCATTTGAGACATCACTCGTAAGCATTCCGCTCAGACACAGCACTTAAGCATATGCTTGGTTTAGTATGGCATTTGCAGTGTCGAAAGATACTGGTAGAGTCAGAAATCATCGCTGTTTATTGCCGAGACAAAGGCTTGATGATAGGCTGCAAATTTGGCAATGATGGAATTCTACACAGAAAGCCATATTCTAGGTGTAATAAACAAAGCACAGCCCAATCAATAATCTACATCTACACTTTTAATGCATTTTCTAATAGAATAGATTTACTTGCTTGCCATGCAATGCTAGACAATCATCATACATTTTCTAGCAGAATTTAATTTTTTTTTCGCACAGAAAACACCTTGTTGATGCACAGATCCCCCAAACCATTAACTTTGGACTAAAATGGCAGGATGGTGTGACTGTCTGCTTCAGGGCAGTCTCTAAAGTGTTAGTTACCAGCACTTTAAAACAAAAGTCTCTTTTTTTCTTCAAATGCACATTGCTATTTAAGATTGCATCATTGAACTCTGAAAGTCAGTCATTCCATTAAAGGTTGACAATGTCGTGCCAAACAGCTATCTGAAACGGTTTCTGTGGGCTGCCTATCACCACGTTTCGCAGAAATGAGCAAAAACACTTGAAAATCAATAAGTGTTTGCTGAAAAGGTGAAAAATGTCAAATAAACCAACATTTACGAAATAAAACATCTAGGTTTTGGTTTTTCCTTATTTCCTGGAGAAAATAAGATATGGTATTGAAAAAAGACGGGCTTCAACAACCTAAGAAATGAAATAGCGTTCATAGACATGAACATGAAAGTTTTATGGAGATTTGAGCTTTTGATAATTCATCAATTAAAATTTTGAATTCTTAAAATAAATGTAATCACAAATTAAGTCTTAATATTAAACACGATAACCATAGACATATATGTGTTTAGCATAATCATAAACATATCATCATTACCAGGTAAATTGGTTATCTATAATTACAACTTAATTGAGTTTGAATTAGAAAAGTTATTTCAAAATCAATACTGGGGCACCTAGAATAGATTTTTCACAAACTGTAAAAAAAAAAACATTCCATAACATCAGTATGAAGAGGTTATGATCATCATTAGAAGTATGTTTTGAAACCAGTCAGAAATACATATTACTGGACAATCTCCATAAAAAATTCATTGAAATCCATTTCATAGCAGAATCTAAGTTCAAAACAGATTTTCAAGATGGCAACCATGGTCTTTGGCTTTAGTAAACAAAAAAATCTTTTTTAAAGATTAAAATTGTCTTTTGAGAAAATTGTTTAATTCCATGATGGATACAATCAGAAACACATGTTTTGTAAATAAAATTAGACATGCACAACTTCTGTGTTAGTACTTCTAACATGGTCTACATTACAAAGATTTCTAACAGGAAAGAAAATATTTGCAGAAGATAATGATTTTCATCATCCAATCAGCATTCAACACCGTAAATTAATTGCATCGTAACTTGGGTGTCTGGCACTGTAATATAAGAAGCCAAATAGCTGCCATGCTTGATGCTGAAATGTCGGTCAATAGTGATTATAGTTAAACATTCAGAAATCTCACAATTTTCTAACAAATTTGTTTTTCACATCCATGCCTGTATCAAGATAATCAATCACTTACGAAAATACACCATTGTTGACATGTTGGAACGTGGATTTTTTTTCCTGATGTACACGATATTAACAATTAAATTTGTTCTTTGTTACTTCTTCCTTCCAGGAACCAATGAATCCAAACTACATTTCATTTTTTTCCTTTTCATTTTTATTTGTGGGGTGGGGGTTAGAGGTAGGGGTATATTCAGCATGTTATTATTTTCTTTAATAAATAATTACAGAAAAAGTTTTTAAAAAAGAAATGAAAATCAACTGAATTGGTTCCAAGGCAAAATGTAATACCTTGGCTTCTTGAAATAAATAAATAAATAAATAAATAAATAAATAAATAAATACATAAATAAATAAATAAATAAATAAATAAATAAATAAAGTTCATGTAAGGCTATAATTCTGAACAAAAAAACAGTCAAAAGTATTTCATGGACATGGTAAGTTAGAAATCGTGTTACAGGACAGTGGCAGTGAGCAGACAGCAGTCATGTATTATTGATGTGGATAGAGTTTCCAGGACCATCATTAACAAACAACGGAGGTGTTTACATCACCAGCCTATTATCACCTTCTCTCAGACAGAACCTTCTTAGGTTATATAGATACAATACATCAATTCTCTACCTCCATTTACTCCATACGTTTACTACAACAAACTGAAATCTGATTCTCCCCTTTGCAAAATTCGATTTCAGAACAAATTGACCTACTGAAGCTGTAGAGTTTTCACCTCTTTTTTTGAAGCTTCCTTTGTACATACAAAAATTTTTTTCTCAACTTTTTCAATGTTGTGAATATTTACTTTGAATTTTACTTTTTTTTCATGAATCAATACAATATATATATATATGTAGTGTACCTACCCAGAATAAATACATCCTGGGAGAGTAAATAGAAGATTAATGGCTTAAATTTCTCTGAAAACTTGGATATCCAGAAGAAATATGTGAACTTAATGGAATCATCAAAAAAACAGAAGATAATTTCTTTGGCATCAGATGTCGGTCATTTGGGATCACAAAATAAACAAATTTTAGAGAGATAATTCTGATGTTATGGAAGACAGATAAACAATAGATATGGTAGGTACAAAAACTTACTGAATCATCCTTGACTAAAAACAATGTTAGAGAGCAAAAACATATCAAATATAACACTTACCTGTTTGCATAAAGTTCAAGTCGGGAATGCATGTCTTGTGATGATATACTATGTTGGGGAGATGGTGAAGGACTGAAAAAAACAGAAAATATTTAAATTTACGAATTCTAACTGTTATTCAATGAATATTCAACTTCCTGACAGGATGTTGATGATAAACAAACATTAAGCATCTTTTGACATTAACCAAGTATTTCCAACTCAATTTAATATCAAACACAAAACAATGCCACAATACCAATATCATAGCCATGTTACTCAACTATATAACTAACAGAATGTTTTGAAAAATCTCAGGTCCTCTACAAATAAAAAAATTAATATCAAACAATTAGGAAAGACTTGAAGATTCATCCATCTGGGAAAAAATAATCTGTTATGTAACATTTGCTTTAAATAAATATATTTTCTCTCGTTACAGGTAGAAAATATTCCTATTTATAGCCACTGCATCAAGTATGGGACATTTCTATAACAGGAAAATCCATCAATTTGTCATAAGGCTTAGGTTCTGGTGAACCAATAACCGATATACAATCCCTGACAAAACTTCCAACACATCAGTTTCATTATTCTGAGCAGTACTTGATTTCTCACCAGTGAATGAAAGGCAAACTTAACTTTCGGCCTCTAGTTGTCAGAATGACAATGTCCAGAGTGAGTGTTGAAATCCAGACGACGACTGACCAACCTATCCTCGCTGACAAAACAAACAGTATCAAGGGTAAGGGGTATCCTATTTAGTTTTGTCCGTGATACACAGAATCACATCTATTAAACGATCACAGTGTCATTGATTGTCCAAGAGGACGGTTCCAGACTGGTCCAAAACCCATTACAGATAGACAACTGACAGTGGAACGGCTAGTCTGGCACCAACGAATCGGTCAAAGCTTGTATAAATATGGCATGCTATCACACTTAATACACCAGGTAATGATCTGGCGCCAAAAAGCAATCAGTTGGAGGAGGTTTACTGTCACGATTACGACAACAGGTGCCCCGCTGCGATCTTCCGTCACGTCCCAAGATACCCTATCTACTGCGGATCATGCAGAGTAAATGGTAAAGCTGCGAAGTGGATTTACACCATAGCGGTAGATCTGTACAGTCAACTGTTTAGGGTCCTGTAGGAATACCATCAAAGCCTCCCAGATTCTGGAGTCATGCCAAGCCAAACCCTCGCTTCTGACAACTTACCGTAATTAGTATCTACCAACTGCAATTTACGCTCTCATCAAATGGAGAAAAATTGAGACTGTACGATCAATATCAGTCAGGGCTGTTAAAGTTTCCTAGAAACACCCTACGAGGCTATACATCAAGCGCTGTGGGATAACTATACAGAGATAGGAGAGACTAGTATGGAGGAACACAAATACCCTTATTGGGAGAGAAAGTGATGAGCACCACACAATGGATCACCTGATGGACGTACTGCGTATAAATGATTTCTCTGTGTCGTCGGGCGAACGCATTATTCTGCCATATCAGGAAAATGGACGTTAACAAAAACAATGTCTCCTACATATATTGATAAAACTGTTTCTACTGCCGTTAGTCTTCCCTCCCGGACGTGTCAGTCTGCAATCTATAGAGTGTAGATACATGACTTTTTCTGACCATAATGGTGACAGATACATTCTCCTAGTTTTATAAATGAATATTTCGATGGTTTTTTTTTTTTATGAAGTTTAGAAAATCTACTTTGCTATAAAACTGAAGTAGGGCTACACATGCAAAATCTCCATCAATGTCACTTAGTAAATGCTCTGCAGAAACATGACAAATAAGCCTAAACACACAAGAGATATACAGAATGTCTGCATGCACTCGATCATCTTGTGCTGAAGTATACCATCTTAGCTGTTTGATCTTGTCTGATATTTTTATAAAAAAAGAACAAACACTTCCCACAAAGATTTAACATCAAATGTGTCTGTCTGATTTCTGATATACAAGTTATCAATAAGTAAATAATGATTTCTGATATACAAATTTTAATTAAGTACATATATAAATATCACAAAATGAAATTTAAGCAATGAACATATGGCTGGATTCGTCTTTATTTATGAAAACCTAAAAAAGAACTCACTTTTTCAAACATTGATTCATTTTCATAAAATAATTAAGAAGTTTTAACTGTTTCTATGGAAGCTGAGATTTTGTATTATCATCTAACAACATGCAGTTAGAAAACTGCCTGCTGAAGATGGCAGGAGGATGCAGTCTTGAGACTCTGAAGCTTGTAACATTTATAAAACATGATGGTATTGATTAGCGCTAACAAAACAACATCTGTAATGGTACCTGTGAATAGTAAGAATTCCCATAATCCTGGAGAGTTTTCTCCTTGTAGAATTCCTACACAACCCGTAGAAATCCAGCGGTTGGTAGCTTTCAGTGTGAAATTCAAGAGAAACTGGTGTCACATCCAAAAAACGACGAAATGGCGCCTCAATAAATGTTTAGTGTCTACGGAATTAACTGCGTAGTTTCTAAACCAATCGAAAGAAAAGAATTGTTTAAGCCTTGATGTTGTCGATGACACGAGGTTTTTGTGACATATGACTCAAGTATAAATGCCGGTAACCTCAGCAATCAATGGAGTCACCGATAGTGAACTCCCTGAGTGAGTTTTGTTATCCTAGCTGAGTGCAGGTGGCGTAAAGTTGGCAATTTTGACTACCAGTATAGTAGAGCTGAGTGCAGGTTAAATAAAATTTGGTAATTCTGGCTCTCCTATTGGATGTTTCCTGCTCCTTATAAGGTTATAAGATCAGTCAACCTTTATATTGAAGTCTTGAAGCCAACCACTGATAAACAAAAATCAGTTTTCCGTGAAATCGAGACAGAAGATGACAATACCTAACCACAATATAGGTTCAATCTTGTGCTCATTTACAAATCCACGATTCCTCAAAATTTTGAAGATGTTCTCACCATCAAAACTACAGTCTATACGGTGGCTTGAAATCTTGGCAAGAGACAGCACAATAGAGATATCTTCTGGTCTCCAGTGATAAAACAGCTGAAATCTAATCTCTTAGAATTCCGAGACACTTTCCATGACAACCTATGTGTAAGAAATGGTTTGTGGGAGATCTAGGTAGCAGGCGTGAACACTGTTCCTCCTATTGTATAAACATCACTAACTGTGAGGAATTCCGAGATCAATTGAGAATGAAGTATCAGTAAAATGCTTGTAGAGAAATCAGGGTAATTAATGGTACCAGAATTGATCAATATATACTGAACGGGTGAGCAGTATGGTGATACCACGGGCTATACTTCAAATTCTCTACCAGTCATTGATCGACGACGCATATTAATCAGTCATGCATCTCGCTCAAAACACATCCCCGCTCTCTTTCTGTGACGTGACTACCTGTTGAAGAAGGGCAGTGTCTGATCAGGTGATGTGTCATTAGCTAGGCGACAGAGTATGTTATTAACACAGAAATAAAAAGCTAGGATGCTGCCGACACAGACAAATGGCAGACATATCCATGTATGGTATCAACACCCTCCCTTGATCTTTATCTTCATGTAGTTACAATCGTCTTGGAGAATTTAGGTTTATCTATTGTATGCAGGATTACAATCAACCTATGTAGGTCATCACAAGATTCAGTTACCATAACAACACTTTTATTTTTTTTGGTTCAGATTTCTGTTTTTTTTTTTTTTTTTTAATATTATTATATAATTTACAATCTTCTTACTATCAACAGTCACCAACAAATTATCGTTATTTAAAACAATTCTAAATAAACCATGCAGTTCAATATCACGTTTGCTGTCTGTCATTTATTACATCGTGTGATCAGAGTTCAGCCTTCTCTATGATACAATATCTCACAGCCTGATTCTGCAACATTCAACTAGCATTACAGAAACTATTTTGCGTTCCGAGATATAAGAAAGCTATTTGATCTCATGTCTAAACATAGCCATTAAGACTGTGTGACCCTGTCTGGAACTATTACAGTATATTGACGAATTTACTTATTTTACAACAAACACGAAACAAAGATATTTTAACTTATTCTAATCAAAATTGGTAGCTGACTGCAAGCCTAAGTGTGGGAGAAGACAAGAGTACCAGGGAAAAACTCACTTGGGTGGGCAGGTGACTCCTTACATTTTCACAACATAAGGGGGAAATGAACCACATAGAGCTAGATGTGTAACTATATTACCACTGCACCGACCGACCACCCAAGAATTGAACAAAGAAATAAACAGAAAAGTGGGAAAAAGTTTTTTTTTCAGTTTCATAATCATTTTTGTCAGCATAAGCATATTAAAATTTCATATTCCTTTACCAACAAATGCCTTATCTAAAGGCATAGCAATATCATCAATTTCTATCAGCTAGTTTGTACGTAATCAGTACCCTACATCATGTATGCTGTATTGATTAAACAGTTTCTCTTCAAAATTTGGCCTCCACTACAATGTTACAATAAAAAAAATCTGTTATATATTCTCCCTATTATGTACATTTAACAGCTAAACAATCTTAAAACGCATCTATTATTTATCAATGTGTCTCGCGATAAAAAACTTGTCCTCTGTCTACTAACTGTAAAATACCACATCAAGCGATACAAGCTCTCCGGAGGACTGTATTCACAAACAGGTACGATGTGGCCAATGAATGATTGATGCTGCATTGGCTACTGATGCTGACACACCTGCATAAGTCAACTGATGATCAGCCTCATCTGTGCTACAATCTAATACCTAACTCGTTATCCGCGCTCGTTATCTGTCACGTCACCCACACAATCATGAATTGTTAATTTCATCCCGATACATTTGTTTTCTTTCTGTTGTTTAGAAGACTTTGAGATCCATTTTGTTGTGTGCCACACGATTGTTGACACTTTGTCTGCACCAGGAGACTAGACACATTTTTTTTATACCTCAAGCACCATAAACAGACTTAGTAGAACTAATCGACTAATGGCTTTGTATGGCAGGATTATCCAAAGTAGAAAATCAGGTTTTCTCTGTCAGACATTGTATGTCAGTCATTATCAAACAGCACTTTGTTGCCAGCATCCAGA